CTGCAATGGATAGTCTCTCGTTACTGGTAAGTTACATCATTAAGGGGTCTTGCGATGCAAAATTTATATGTCAGCGTATTTAAAAAAAACGTTAAGTCATCTTCAAAATTTCTGTCCGACTATGTCACTTCGCATTTGGGTGGTTTAGTGGTTAAAGTGGTTGCCGGGCATCAGCTCACATAGGCCCCAAACGGGCACTAGGTAGCAAGTAATTATCTTATATTGTGCTCACAAGTAGAGAACGGCTTGTCCAAACTCTTCTATGATGGCGAAAGTAGAAGGGAAGTGCCCTTCCTTGCAAGCTCGTCCGATGTCTCATTACCCGGTATGTTAATGTGTCCAGATACCCATACCAGGTTCAGAGAAAACTGCTTGGCCACCGTGTTAAGTGATCTACGGCGGTCCTCTGCGGTTTTAGATTTTACTGTTACAGACTCCGGGGCTCGTAATGCAGTGTGGCTATCCGAAAAAATATGGATACGATTACCCGAACTGAGACAAGTGACAGTCTCATGTAAAGCCATCATTTTTTTCCACTTAGTTAAGAAAAATTGTTAAAGACCTTCACGTAAAGCATTTTTAAAAGTTTTTGTAACAACAAATCTAAAACAATCTGCTTTAAAACATCGGCACGCTTCTTAAGAAACCTTGACTCCACCCCAAAAAGCTTACAGCAACGTTTTTAATTAGCTTTCAATTATAAAGAAGCGATTTATTAAATTAAACTCACTCTCTTAACTCGATGCCAATGATTTTGTTACCGTTAAGTTCATAAATTTTGCGACCAAATATTGGCATCCTAATAATGTCTGTTTATGACAGCAATCTCTAAGGCCAAGCTGAAGCTATAAATTCAAAAGAATCCTGATGCCTTGCACACACAAGGATACACTCAAAGAAGGATCTACCAATATTTTTAGCTCGAAAACAATGAAATTGCATAGCACAACGCAGCAGCGGCGAACAAAAAAAGAAAAACAAGAAAAAATATTCCAAATTCGCGCGTTATAACCAAGGAAATTTTTTTTCTTTTGGCCTTTGATTTCCCAGCTGCTTTGATAAGCACTTCAAAGGATTAAAAATAGGCAGAGCTACACTCGCCTCTGCAGCGATGCGCGAGTGGTGAAACGGCAGCTCAACAGGAAGAAAACACTTGCCCCACAGCCATGAAATAAATTCTTGCCGCGGCATCTGCTTTTAGCAAAGTCATGGACGTAAAGTCTGCCAGGCAGGCAGCCAGCCAGTCAGCCAACTAAGTGGCCAATGTCTTACAAACAACACGAATTCCTTCAGAGCAATATTGTCTCATCTCCGTCGTGAGCTTGGGTGTGTGGGTGACTAAAGCGGAAACCTTGCAGACACGTTTTGAACAGAAATTTCGAGCTTTCATGCCGCCAAACATTTGCCATTCAACGTCCGCCCCACTACTGCCACTTAAGGTAGGGATGTGGTTCAGTGAACGAGTTATTTCGCGGTAACTGTGCAATATCTGTTATTCTTTGTCTCGTCTTGGCTTAAGATTTTGTAAGCAATGTGAGAACAAACGGCAGTAGTCCGTGAATATAAACGATTATATGTGGGTTCGGCGACGGTGTTGAAAATATGACGGGTCACTTTTTAAATCGGGCCACAAATAAAGTCCACGAAAATGTATTCCAATTCATAAATTTATGCCGCCATACTTGCGTTCATATTCCAGCCACGAGTTCAGCCGATGGGCAAGAGTCTTACTAAGATGTTCCACAATTTTGGAAATGGAAGAAAACTCAACTCTCTTATTAGCATAGATGCATTATCATAGATGTATGGACATCTTTAATAACTGGCGTAGGTTCATTAGTTCACCACCACCACTGAGCGGATAACTTTATCTCTGTTTTTATCAGGGCAATCTGTTTTTTACACTTTCAAAGCTGGACAGTTTTCGGGCATCCGGACGACATGACCTAGCCAGGATAATCGTTTCCGTTGTAGCAGCTTGGCTAACCCTGCTAGGAATAGGCGAAATTAGTCTGTGTCGTCGAAATAATATAAAGGCGTGTTAGATGAGTAGGTTTTAGTGGTCATTCAACGAGGCGGTGCTAAAGGTAATATACCCACACCTTAGTTGCGAGCGTTTTACTCCGGTCTCGCGAGATAATTCGAGCTCTTCGTCTGCTATGAATGGTGGTTGAATTACGAGCAAGGCATTCACTGCAAAACGAAAGAGGATAATGTCGGACAGCTAAGATGTGGTAAAGGTTGGCGCGATAGCAATGCAAAGGATATAAATTTCCTAGCTAGAAAAGAAAGAAAAAAGATTGGTAAGCTTGGTGAGAAACTCGCCACCGCTGAATCCAGTTGCTTTACCATCAGCTAGCTTATCCGTCGGTTAGTCGACGGATTTGGAAATTTTCGGCTCTTTTGACCTCCATAGCCCACTCTCTGAAGAAAACAAGCGCTGTACTGGTGATTGGCAGTTGGCAATCTCTCAGCTGAAGGTGCAGTGTCTCTCTTCGGCTTCGGCGAGGAGCTGTCACGTCTCGTCAGATTTGATAATGATTTCAACGGTGACTCGAAGCTTGATTGCGCCAGAAAAAAATTACAAAGCCTTTAGTGTTGTTCTATGAATTTAGGCTGTCTTGGTATCGTGTTGGTAATAAGTTGGGTGAGCGGGGGATGGGTTTGTTTGAGGTTGTGCAACTGTAATATCCACTGTGGAGGTTGTGGCAAGTTAGTGATTGTTGGCGGTGTGGGCACACTCTTACAGCATGGGACAACATGGGCGTCCGAATGTGGCACTTACTGTGGATATTAAGTCCTGTATAGGATAACTCAAGCCTTTGAACGAATTGTATTTAACCAAAAAGGAAAAATGGTGGAGTCGTCTTTGGCACACTCTTTAAAAATATTGCGTCAGACCAGGGTTAAGGTTGATGTCAGACCTGATAAAAAGCCATTTCTGCCGTGTTTACCTCTTCGACTCCAGTGCCAAAAGAGATCATAAGAAAAGTGGTACGCTGGGCTTTAATTCCGCCACATGAAATACGTCTGCAATGAATGAATTAAAATTAATCGCGCCACAAATTCGTTACCGCAGATACGTCCCTGTGAAAACAAAATTGTTTTACTACAAAAACTTTGCAATAACTGTTTGCCTAATACGAGTGCAGTACTCCTTAGATGCGCAACGAAGTTCGTGGAGTTGGAACAGGCTGAAGAAATTCAATAAGATATGGTATTTGCAATAAACTTATTTTGGCGATGCGGCTAATAAAGAGAGGAAATACACGAGACAAACAACGATTGTCTGGACCGGCAGTACTGTCTGATTGGCTGTGGCTGCTGCTTCACTGGTCAAAGGCAAAATCAAACGATCTTCAGCAACGATGCAATGAAATAGTTTAGCTGTGGTTTTCTTAATGATAAAATTTGTACATTCGTATTTTGGGTATGAGAAATGGCTTTGTTTTCTGTTAGTTGGCTTTTGGAGATTTGTTTTTTTTTTTAAGAAATATCTATTTTCACTCTTGCCATGATTCTCCGTGTTGCTTACTGTTCGACGATTCGAATAAAATGAGTTTTTGTGTGCACACAGCACTTTACACGACAGAAGATTCTTATCGGCCGATAACTCTCCTCTCCCCAGTAGCGTAGACAACGAAGCCTTGCTGCTCCCGAATTTCACTCACCACCTGCGTCCAGCAGCACATAAGAATGGCCGTAAAGTGTATAGTACCGCAACAGCACTAAACGCCGTAAACACTCAGATAGTCAGTCATTACTCATTACCGCCGGGGTTGGGTCATGGGCTACCTGAGTGGTCGACATTCATCGGTAATATTCCGAGGTGAACCATCGAAACTTAGGAAAATTATACGAAGGGTTCCGCAGGTTGATGTACTCTCTAGAAAGAGTTTCCCTAACCTCGTATGCCGATGATTGCTCGATATTGGCGTCTGGCTAGTCTATTGATGACCTTTCTCACTTCTTCACTGCACGGCAGTTAGAAATACATCCAACTAAATCCTCGGCTATCTTCCTCACCAGGTGGACGAAGGAGTACAGGCTTGAATTCTACGTGAAGGTCGATGACGTAAAAATTCCGACTATAAACAACCCAAACATATTGGGAGTCACACTAGATAGCCTGCACTCCGCATACGCAACAAAATACTCAAAGACGGCAGCATCTGGGGTAAAGACAAAGAAACCTTGCTGTGAACTTACAATGCGTAGACTGGTCTTAAAATATGCTGCACCGATTTGTACGCCGGTGACGAGCGAGACGCAGATGAAGACGGTACAGGCTTGCCAAGACACCGCCCTCAGGACCGGGACAGGATACCTTCAAAGACTCCCTTCCCATGAATGCTGAGCGCGAAAATAAATTACCACCCATTGCAGACAATGAGCTCGAGCTGCCTCAAGAAACCCGCGTTACCTTGACGCAACTTATGTCTGGATGCTGTAGCAGGTTGGGCTCCTACCTATCCAGACTCGACCCATGCATACCCAACGTATGCCCTGCATGTGGAGAGTCTCCCCACGACACTAGGCACTTCTCCACATACCCCCCTCCCTCTCCTTCTGCTCCAATGCTTTCGACACAGCACGCTTTATGGACCGTAAGATTGATTACAGGTGTCCCCAAAAGGTGCAGTCAATCGCTACAAGAACAACAACTGCACACCGATCGCGAAAAAAATTTGAATTTTCGCAAGAGCAAATCTCACTCGCACACCTACCGATAAAATCACTTGCTTGTCGTGTATGGCTACCTCAAGGTGCTTCTCGTCGGCACTCGGACGATTTGCCAATGAACTAAAAAACACAAACAAAAAGAAATGTTTTACAAAAATCCCTTATTGTGCGCATTAAAAATTCCCTCTAGAGTACACTTTGAAGCAGCATGCATCACTGCTTCTAATTCACCACTGTATTCACCACACGCACAAACCGGCAAACAGCTGATAAAACGTAAACAAAATCAAACAGCTGTAGTTGAAATAATTATTTCTGCGAAATTTTTGATTGTTTAATACAAATTGTTTTAATTGAAACCTTAAATTGTGTCAAAAGATCAGATTTCAGAACAAAGATATGTTGAAACCGTACAAACACATTAAAGAGTGCAAAAGAAGAATTTAGCAGACGTATAAAAAATTCATATATGACACAAAGCACTTGTTGCCGCTTGTGGAAACGAGGAAAATTGCGCTGATTAGCTATCAATTCTCATTTAAATAATGAAAACTCATTGACTTTAAGTCAATATAAAGCAAACAAAAGTGAGTTTGCAAATTTGCTGAGTAATTTTTAGGTGTAAGCGTTTGTGTACGCCCCATGTTTAAATTAGTAAAATATACTACTGCGCTAATAGCCGTTAAATTAAGTTTTCTTTCGCAATGAGCTACCACTCACTGCTATAAATGATTCCTTCCACTTACTGCAAGTACAGTGCCATTTTACGTACATTGCCCTACCAGTTTCAAGTGCAGCATTAAAAAAGTTTTCATAAAAATGCTAATAAAAAAAACGTAATAAATTTGCAGCAATTTACAAACCACATTAACCAATACTGCGGCCACACCGCGCGTCAATGCCACAGCCAATGTGGAGCAGTAACGTCAACAAAAGTGCTTGAAAAGTTTATTTTACTCCACTGCAACAACATAACTACAAATATACATACATAGGTACATACAAACTACACATCGCTATACAAAATTTTCTTTGTTCATTTGAAATATAAAAACTTTTTTTAAATCGCAATAAAAAATCGGTAAATAAAGGACGAATGCCACTTACATGTGGAAGTGCAACTGCATAAAGAACTAAAAAATAATATTAAATTAAAACGAAAAACAGGTGAGTAGACATAGCAGCACAGAAAGCAATTTGTAGAAAAAGTAAAAACTTTTGTTTTGAATTAAACAAAATAGAGTTCACACAAATACGTATAAGCCTTGCGAAAGCTGGAGACCATAAGTGAGCTAGCTGTGCACACAGTCAGTTAACCAGACGACAGTTGAAATCGCATGTGCAACTTTCAAACAACTAACTGTTTACTTGCATAATTTGAACTTTTTATTTGCTGAATTTAAATTACTTTTGGCAAAAGTTTTATTTTTCGCTACTGGGATTACCCATCCACCTTTGATTGTGTGGAAAGCTTATTTGCACTTTAAGAATTTTTTGAAACACAATAAAGTTATTTTGTTCTAAAATAAAATTAAATATAATACATCCATAGTTATAAGATTTTATGTACTGGTATGAAAACGTCTAAGTTCTTATAAAATATGTAAAAAAAATTATATTTCCATTAAATCATTAGAACTTTTGCTACAAACGGTTGGTTTCATAAATATTTTAATTTTATGCATTCATTTCCCACCAAACTTTAAAACCCTACACAAATTGCTTGTCATTTAAAAGAAGTTTTTTTTTTTTTGCATTTCAGGCACATATCACCACCTCGCCTTCGAGTACGAACCAGCTGCTCGTGCAACTCCAAGGGCGCTTTACATAATTTGCCGACAGATACAAATGCGCAGTGTACACCATGGCCACCTAATCTGTTTATCTACAAGATAAGCTCTGACTATGAATCTGCTGCTTAGTACTACAGAACATAACAAGCCATACGAAATAAATAAAAAATAAAGAGTATCAAAAACTATTGAAAAACTAAAATAACAAAATTAAAACTTTCCAATCTGCACACAGACGAGTTGTTTTTTAACAAGCAATCCAACTGCGGTCGCAGTTTACCAGCTTCTCCCGACTCTTTCGGCTATTCGCTTATCAACGGACACACAGCCGGACAACTCGCTATCGGAAGGGAGCAGAGGCGTCTGGGGAATAACAAAAGATATGGCAACAAACGCCAAAAATGCACCCAACGACATCAACAAGCAAGACGAACGGCAACAGGACAACACCCGCATGACATTTGCCGGCTCACCAGCTACAGCGCCAACTAGTACTTCAACAGCAGCATCAGTGGCAGCAACAAGAACATTGCCGCAACAGAAGCGTCGACAAGAACAATGCAATGCGAAAATATTGCAAGAACTACTGGGTATTGTGGCACAACCGCAAGTGGCGACAACACTAATGCTGAAGCCGGATGCAGTGGTGGCGGATAAGCAAAAACAACAACAAATCCAGCAGTCGCATGTGGAATTGAGCCAAATTGAGTTGATCTATCGCGCGGAGGGTAATGCAAATTTGGTGCTTGCATTGCCGCAATTTAAAAAAGTTTTGCGTCTGCCAAAAACGTCGACAACTAGCCACAGCAATAACAGAGCAACAGAATATAACGAAATGAAAATTGGTAATACACAACAGCAAACGGATGAAACGAAAGTGTCAGAGGGACGGCAAGCGGACGACAAAGAGTGGCAGCTACATCAAGAGCATCGTCAACAACGAGTACAGCAACAGCAGCAGAAGCAGCAGTGGCAGCAGAAGAGTCAAGAAATGCAATCGCAGCATCAACCACAACAGCAAAAACAACAGGAGGTAGTTCAAAGTGCTTCCGAACCGGCTGTAAATCAAAATGCAAAAGGTTAGTTTTTGTGGCAGGATATTATGTGGCACTGCTGGTTGCTGTGTCCTAGTGGTAGCGATATCGACCTGCGCAGCCAACAGCCAACCAGTCAGCCAGCCAGCTAGCTGGCGCACAAAGTCACATCAACACTATCCGCATTGTTGTTATGCTAACAATATTGTTTGGATTGAGGAGCTCAGCTACAAGCATAACTGATATTGCACTCACAGTCATACATACATCCAGCTCAGCTTGGTAACGAGTTGGTATTTCATTATTATTTTTGTCTTATTTTATGCTACTGATTGTTGTTATTTTGCCTGTTGGCGAAACTTGGCCCGAATCTCTGACGAAATGTGTTTATTTCATTTATTTGCTATAAAAAAATTCCATTGCCTTCAACATTTGCCACTTGCAAGAGCAAAAAGGCTACTCATAAGAGCAATTTTCCGTGCCAGATTTTACTGCCGTCCACTACCATCTACACACACATACACACACAGGCGTATGAATGTACATAAATGCATTTGACTGGTGATTTTGCTGCTGCGCATAGTTTTCACATTGCTTTGGTCATTTTATTGTTGGCTAATTTATTTCAAATTGTAACCACAATTGCAGACTTGACAATGGAGGATTTTGTGGCTTACATCGAGGTAATACGAAATATACTTGGCACTGAATATGTATTCGAAACCGAGATTGTACGGATAGCAAAGGCAGAGGACATACGATGGATAAATGAACGTATACGAGCAGATCGACCAGGTAAGTTGAGGGTAGGAGGGCAGTGGGTAAGGCTGGCAATTGAGTTTAGACAAATGGAAGGTGTAGTAAATTTTCTGCTGATCTCCATATATTAAGTTTTAAAATTGTTTTGCGTATATGTACAGGCGTCGATGTATATGTAAGTCCACAGGAATAGGCATGATGGGGTAGGAGCTGTGAAATAAAAGATAGGAGATGGACACACAACACAATCGTTGAAATGGCTGAAATGACTTCGCAACAACCGGTTAGAGTGGATAATACTTATTCATGAATTAAATATTATATTTACTTCACAAAGCCAGGCTCCAATCTTTTTGGTCTACTCTTTTCGTCTAAAGTCTTGTGGGGAAAATTATGTATTCAGCGTGCATTCGCTTTTTTTTGCAGATACTAATATCGCATTCAAAAATTATGTCAGGTAGTAATCAATCTCTCGATCAGACTTCCACGTTTTCGATTAACTTGTAAGTTTGTATGTTGTTGTTCTTTTTGTAACCGTAAAAATATTCCGAAAAGTAGTTTTTAGGGAAAGTTGCGGGAGTGACAGTACTTAGACGAATAAAAATCTCGGTCGTCTCGGGACTATGTCGCGAAAATTTTTGAATTTTTATCGCCTTTCACAACAGGCATGTTTTACCGTGGGAAAATTCTTGTACCACCACTTCGCACTGGTATTAAGTTCATCTTGCTTTGGCCGCTATGTGCCAGCGTCTTTCACACATGTATTGTAGTGATGTCCTCATCACTACAGGATTCCTAGGCTCTAAGTAATCTACTTCAAAATTCGCTGCACATATTTTCCAACAGGGAAAAGTGTAGCTAGCAAAGGTGTCGGATTCGTTGTGGGAAAGAGACTCCGTCGCCGAGTACTGGTATTCCCTCCGGTGGCTGAGCGTCTCGCCACAATCCACACCAAAAGGAAATTTTTCAACATATCGTTTATTTGCACCCACGCCCCGATGCAAGAGAAGGATGATTTGGCCAAGGATGACTTTTATGAGCGCCTCGAGTACACTTATGAGCAAAGAAGGCATTTTTGTGACAACAGTCGAAAAATTCAGTCTCCACGACGAAACATCCCCAAATAGGCTGAGGCCAGTCGACTTCTCCGGGGTCTGAAATATGGTTGCATGTAGCACCAGGTTCAAGCACAAAAAAATCACTAAGCTACTTGGCTGTCTTCAGATCGAAAAACTTTCAACCAGATCAATGCTGTTGTAATAGACGGAAGGCATTTATCCAGTGTATTAGCTTGAGAAGTTGACTGACAAGCCTAATGCTCGAAAATTCTACGAAAGGATACGGCGATTTACCGAAGGTTTCAGGACCAAAGCAAACTCTTGTAGGACCCAGATGCCCAGAGTATACTGTACCTATGAAGGGGACACTTCTTCAGCTATAGATATCCATATATCGATATCACCGGCACAAATATCTGTCCTTCTAACGAGACCTCTTCAATTGACTCACACGACAAGACTAGAAACTCTTCTAAACATTCTTTCATCAGACCTCTGCGGCAAATTTAAAGCGAACTGCAACACCTTCAGACTGGGCAGCACTTAGGCCAGCCGGTTCATAGCTCAACGGCATAAAGAAGCCACGTATAATATACATAATTTGGCGCTGTGTAACCATTATTTCATGTCATAAGTACATTCAGAGGGGTTGACATTTCGCCAAGAGGCGACCGCATTTTGAAAATTTTAATTTTGTTTATTTTTTATTACTTTTTCATAATTATTATTTTTTTGGATGTTAGATGTACCAGGATTTGAACCCGAGTTTTCCGAATGGCAGTTCACAATGCTAACCACTCGGCTACCGCGGTCGCCACGTGTAATATTGTTGGAATATCTGGACACCGCTAGGCGCAAAGAGTTCAAGAAAGATGCTTCTTCTAGATCAATAGAACTCTTATAGTGAACCAAAAGAGCTTAGAGTGTTGACGGTATCAAAAAGGCGTTTATTCTAGATGCTGTTCGGATTAGTCGGAATCTTGTAAAGCGTGTTCTGCATGCAGAGGGCACGGTACAAGCTTGATTTCAAAATGATTTGGCTTGGTTCTTGAAAGAGAATAAATCGAAAATATATTTTTAAAAAAGACCAGACAGTCAACGGACCGGATAGCTCTTTTTAAAGCCTTATTGTGAATGACATCAAGATTTCATGTTTGGCATTCCTAAACCTTTCCACTGTTGATATTACCTCTTGTTCGGTACATCCATTATCGCAGGCTCTTCGCTTTAGTAGTGGTTCTTCGGTGGTTTGTATGTTTTACGGAAGAGAGTTTCTCCGACCTTTTTCAGTACTGTCAGTTAGGTTAGTGTCTGAACTTTGTCGTCGTTGATTTTTGCATTACCACCTTGTGAGCATAGCTCCAATGATTCTAGCATAATTCCATATCTTTTCTTGAGGTCGCTTCGTCTTCTTTTAAATCCCTCATATAGGTTTGCGTATTTCGGCAACCGATGTATTCTCTAACAGATTTGCTTTGTCCTCCTGAGCCTGTTGAGTTCTTAGTTCCTGTACATATCGGTCCATACAGATACTAATATCTCGGTCTGCTGCCCGTATCTTCTTCACTAATAAGATTCTTATCTAACATAAACTTGGAGAAGTCTTCCTCAAAAGTTTCTGCTTTCCACCTTCTCGGCTGAATCTTCTTGACAGTGTTGTTGTACGATACAGACGGTACCCTCTTGGCATCTCGTTGAGTCTTCTCATATATAAACTTTGTCTCGGTTTTAGCACCAAAAAAAAAAAGTTTTCCAAGGAACCTAATCTCTTGAACTTTTATTAACAGTAAATTTTAAAGCATTCGGGCATCAGTTTATTTCATAAAAATAGTTTCAGTCTCGGCAGAGCACATGTGACCGCTTTGAATTCCACAACCACACAAACTCCCACACACGCCCCCCAATCGCACACACTCCCATCCAGTCAGATTGCACAGCATTTTGGCATTTGTTATTGTTAAGTTTTATGCTGCATCATTCCAAAGCAATACTCTTTTCAATTTCCACAAAATTGTTATATACCATCAACTTGTAATGGGGTCGACCATACCACCAGCACTTTTACCCGTGAGTGGCATCAATTTTGCTGCATTTGCACTTTTTATTATGCCACAAACACACAGAGATGCACCCTGCCTGCCGCTTTTTGACATTCATTGGATTTTGGTTGTTATTGCTACCGCAGGAACATCTACCTTCCTATCTTTCCTGGACCTGCAAGCTCATGCAATCGATCATAAAACTCTTCTATGCACTTCATGACACGAACACCAACATGCGAACGTCTGGATCAAGGAAACTCAATAGATGCCGGGCGGAGTCATGGTGTGAATGATTGTGGCATTATTCCTGTTACTGCAGACATTGCATTGCAGCTTACTGTTGCCGCCCGTCCATTTGTTTCAATTTCATAAGACATCTCTTACGACATACTAAAGCAAAGAGCTGAGTTGGGCGGCGAGTAAAGAGAATGAGATACAGCCTGTAGTGGGCGGTGTTGTTGTCGCTTGGGTGGCTTTAGAGCATTCCCAGCTGACTTATTAAGCGTTTTAGTACTCGCCAACCAAACAATGACAACTAACAGATGGTGTCAAGTACCACACGCCGGCTGCCTGCCTGCCTGCCAGCTAGGCAGGATTGGGTTTAGCTTAGCTTATAGGGTAGGTCGCGCATAAGATATATGGCCAAGAGTGTGGTGTGAAACGACCGTGTGGCGGTTTGTGGGCTGGAAGTGACATACGTGTTTGCAAAAGCTAATATTTCAACAATGTTAACACTGTTGTACATGTTGCTAATATCATGCTGTGCAAATAGTGCTCATATTCAGCCAGTATGACTGTAACCATAAAGTAAATGCATCCGTATTGTGCAATATTTAAGCAAAATGCTTCGTTATGCCGCTTCCTACTCCTTCTCGCCTCCGTGTTTCGCTATAAATTTCTGCAATTTCATCTATTGCATTTTTTACAGTTTTTGTTTGCTTTATTCTCTGCTTTTTATTTCTCTTTTCTCTCATTTCAATTTTTATATGCTGCTCACCATCGACGCTTATGTTGGACGGCTTGTGATGATTTCCTCTTGCCGATTACGCTCTCACATCTACACTTGCCGCTGCACTGCTGTTACAACTATTTTGACTATGGCTTTCTCTCGCTATCCACCGCCCTGCGCTCGGTTTACAGCTCATCGTCGGGATAAAGAATTTTGTGGGGAATTCGGTTTGTTACTGCCAGATGCTACACGCTTACCAATAGCATTCGATATTTTACTTTCCAATTTGCAGGTGAGTTTGGCAGCGCTGCCATTAGATGAATTATGATAGTGTTCAGGTGTTCAGCGTTGTTGCATAGATGTGCTCTAGAGCATATATACAAACATGTACATATCCTTTTAGTAACCCAGCAAATTATTTACATTAAGATTTTCCTAAATACAGGCCGAAGAAATTCCTGAAATTTGCATGGGTAAGTATGAAAATCGAGGAAATAATTTAAAAGAATTTTGAAAGCTGTTTTGAATAAACTCAATTTGTTACAATTCTTTGCATTTACACAATGGATACATGGCTACGTCACGTGAGTAACAAAACATGCTGACTAAACTAAGCCCTCAACGGGGGGCCAAGAAATAGTTAAGTACATAATTTCACGATTAAAATAATAAAGTGACACTAAGATATTCAAATACGATAGAAAAAACACTTAAAAATCAGAAGTGGAATATTTTCTTTAGCTTTGTGAAACACAACTCCTATCGGAAAATGATGATATAGATCTGGTAAGAGTAAAAACAAGACCAAACATATCACGTTCTCAAACAAAAACATTATTCTGTGTGCTTGTTATTTGGTTTAACACTGTTTAAGTTTGGGCGTTACAGGCAGTAAAATGTTAAAGTGTTCTCAAACGTTTATAAAACCTGTGGGCTTCTTCCAAGCTCATTGTATAAGTCATAAGTATATTTTCTAATTGATCAGAATTAAATTAATATTAAAAATAATATTAATTAATATATCGTACGTGAAGTACAATAAAAGAGAAAAGGAAAACTTGGAAAAGATGCTTATATACTTATAGGCTGCACTATGAATAATCAAAATCGCTGTAGTAGTATCGGTCAAGATTGGTTTCAAGATAGCTAAGCCAGCATCGACTAGAAAAAATCATGTTTAGAACATTCTATAGTCATCTTATCTTCCTATTGTCCACCAGTCAGTTTACTTTTTTAAGGGGGAAGCTGGTCTAAAATTTTGAAAAAATTGAAAATTTTTTTTTTGTTTTAAAAGGTGTCTTAGGGTCTTAGAAATAACATACCAAAAGATGGATGCCGACAAAAATGTCTAAACGGCCAAATTTTTCATTCGACGGCAGTGCCTCGCAGGTGTGCCCCGAGCGACCTACAACTTTAAACGCGTTTTTCTCGAAATCACTTTTTTCAAACTGGCCGAAGACATAACTCGAACAAATCTTCACCGATTCTTACGAAATTTTGACAGTACACTCGAAATACCGTACGTAGGCTTACATAAGATTTTTTTATATTGCATAGTTTTTTTTAATCAACAATTCTATATAGCTTTTTATAGTGAAAATTTTTACTTTTTGTTCAATCGTACACCATTTCGCCAAAAAATCAAAATATCGAAAAAATTCTACGTACGTCTCTTGCTGTTGTTATATTGAAACTAAAAAAATTTATTTGTTGATCCAGGACAAAAATTAATTAGTTTATATCTTCGGCCATGGACCCATTAGGAAAAAATGCGTCTTCGCAGAAATGCAGGACAGCGGCCATTATGAAATTAATTTACACGAACCTAAACCTTTGGATTGATTCCTTTGTTGAGTCAAAATAAATTCATAAAATATGCCCATTTTTTGCGCTCTAGACCAGTTTCCCCCTTTAAGTGTCCAGCCTGTTAAACACTAACAATGCGCCTCTCCAATCAACTTTCAGAGTGAGAAAGAGATTTTTTTAAGCGTTAAACACAAACTTATTCGCTGTGGATTTCAGCGCTTACTGGGAATTATTGGTTTATGGTTTACATCTATTGCGCAAGTGTTGCTGCATATCTAGGTGCTAGATCCACTCGCTTTGGGTATTGGTTATAAAGACTTCTTTTTCATATTTATTTGTTGTTTTCTATTCTCGTTTTATTTTCTGGTTTCGTTGTTTAGGGAGCAACACCAATTTCGGCTTCTTTATTGCGCGCTATTGGTGCGACGTGGTCATGCAACAGCGGCAATAAATCATCACACTAGTTTTTCTCTTTAAAAAATAGAGGACAACGATTCGATTGGCTATTGTATCCCAGTATGGTGGGATGTGAGAAGAGAGAAAAATTTTTGTTCACAAAAATGATCGTTAACCTGGTTTCGAAGTATTTTTCGTTGCTACGAACATTTTTAGCAAATTTTTTAATGGATTCGAGAAGGAATGATTTGGCATTTTATTATACGTTGGCTTAAAATAAATCTTAATGTATTTCGGAGGGGAAACAATTTAGAGTTTCCTCTATTTTATTCAGACTTTACGTCGTATGTATTTGTATAAAATTTCCAATTTTTATTAGAATATAGCAGCTTATTTAAATTCAATTGGGTGCAACTAAATTTCTGAACAGGCGCTTGGTGAAAGATAAATTTAAATAAAAGGGGCTCAATTTTTGGTCAACTCGTAGAAATTAAAAATGTTTACACCAATTCACCTTTGGAAAACAAAACGATACTCTCAAAATGTCCGAGTTTTACTTCTGACCACGTGGGAAATGTTGACTCTAATCTCTTTCCAAGACCAGACCCATTTCTGTTGAGGATGAGTGAAGTACACTAAAAGTTTGAATTTTGTCCAGATAGTCAATAAACAAGCCCCCGGGTGGGGCCCGAAATAAAGGTAATTCCACGGAATAGCTCTTCAATCTCGATGCTTACAAAACGAGTGAGAGGGTATCCGCTGGGCTTATTATTATTATGACTATGCGGTGTTTCTTTAATTTAAAAATTGGATTTTTACTCTGCGTTGCTTTGGGTTGTGACAAAAAAAGTGATTTGTAATCTAAAGACCACAGGGAAATGATATTGTCATGCTGATATAATATGCCCGGAGACCCAGTTATTACTTCGCATTGTCATACAAAAGAGTCTACAAAATGGAGACAATGAGCAGGATGAAGTAGAAACCTGTGCAAAGTTCCTATACCTTTCATGAACATGAAGTATGTAAGTAGGTGCCAAAAGAAGAAAGAGACCCACCAAAATTTATACCGATCTGATCAGGATGATGAGCTAAGTTGATTTAGCTTTGACCGTTTGTTTAGTTTCTCACTTTTTTTGATAGATATTTCTACGAAACTTCGTAGGCAGATTATTTTTTTTTTTACTGTATCGACCATTTCTTGGAACCTGCTAGATCCGACCACTATCAAATAAAGCCCTATGGAACCGATTCGTTCAGATATTAAGTTTTGTGTCCATAATCCATAAGAAACCATCTAAAAACGTAAAAATTGGACCGAAAATCATTTGATACATTTAAGAGAATTAATATTTAACCCTAAAGAATTCAAGGAAGGCATAAATACATTTCTTCTTTCTTGTTTAGTTTGAGAGAAGTATATTTTCGGCAACATCCGAGCAAGATATAAAAGTGGTGGTAGTAAGCACACCATTAATAATCAAATTGAGCATCAGGTTAGATTTTGACACTGCAGATTACTACTTTCTTTGAGAGCCAGTGGTTTCTATTCTCAGTTCAGTTGTATTCAAAGTAAGAAGTAAAGAGGTTGAGAGCATTTATTATATTATTTACATCTCAGAAACTACTGGACAGGGAACAGAGTTCGATGAAAGCTGATAGTTATAATGTCCATGGCCTGTTATGGACACAGATTTAATCAGGCAACAACAGCGCCTTTGTCACATACAACAGACTACACATTTCATTCCTCGCTTAGCGTAAGAACAAAATTTGTATCGCATGCTACTTTCAATGAGAACTAAGTTCCCACCAATGGCTGATATAGATTCAGAAATAGACTTATTTCCCAAATAACGGCTCTTCTATGATTGATCGTATTGAGTCTTCAGTTTCACCCGAACTTAGTCTTTTTTAATTGTTGGGTTGAAATTTCTCTTAATGACTGCGAAAAATATATATTTCCAATTATTACAGACACTCTTTGAGGGGTTATTAATGCATAAAGCTTCGACGCATGCAGTGTGACTCTCTAGCATCGGCTCGTGTATTCTACCATCGAGTTGAGATTATCCTTTATGGCATTAAAAGTAGGTCAACTGCTTTGCATGAATAAAAATCATAATTATTCATTTGGAAAATAAAATTTCTTAACAAACAACAACAGTGTTTCTCAAGCACAACCTGTGTGAAAGCAATATTTTATACCGAAAGAAAGACGTAAACGAACCTGCACATCCATAACTGTTAATTTCTTCATACATTTGCGCCCACAAATGGCCTACGAGGCAATTGAAAAATTCCCATTTCCCTACATTTATGCCTTATCCTACAACGACACGTACGCGCTTACATTTTTAACTCTCGACCGCCATTGTGCGCAACCAATTGAAAGGATAATAATTATTTTCAATTTGAACCCGTGCCGAACTTTAACAACCGAACAGAGCAATTCGTATTTTTCATATTTATACGATAAATGGAATTTATGCGCACATTTTAACCAGATGTGTATGTATGAATTTATACATGTTTCTATGTGTGTGTTATTGTTTACTTCATGCACTTTATTGTTGATACTTTCCAGTTGCAATTGTACCGTTCAGCGAATCCTTACAATGCCAAGCAATTAACAATCTGCCGTTTACTCTTTTCTTTTCATGTTAACACACACACACACACACAACCACCAACATACTCGTAAATAAAACAACCAATAACAACAAATGGGAAACATTACAAACAACGGAAAATACATATCAAAATATATGTATATATGTAAATACATACACACATATGTATTTTTGTGTATGCATTGACTTCAAAAAATGCCATAAAAATAAAACGAAAATCGAAGACTGAATTGATTGGTGACACATACGCCGTCGAAATCAAACCCAAGCAAGGCTGGCCACTGCCACCTGATGTTGTCGTCAACGATTTATTTGACCTGAGGAGAAAACCAACACGAGGTGAGCCAGCTGCGACAGCAACAGCAGCGACGTCGGCATCGGAGCTGAACTACGCAGTGGACAACAGTCACATCATGAGGTGTCGCTACTGTGCGATGCAATTTTTAAAGGTAAGCTATGACCGGTGAGTAAAGCGTAAAATTCTAGGAAGAACATAAACAGTAGACATTGGAACCGGAAAGTTTCGGTCGAGACCGAATATACGAATTGGATATATCTACATACGAGGTGTGACAATTAAGTAATCAGATTATTTTGCATGATTGTGGTAATCCTGTGACCCTGATGTTTCCCTTCTTTCCTTCCACCGATGCAAAGCGTAAGTAAAGTCTACTTTCGCCACGTAATCGAAAGTTTGCGAAAACGAGTCAACCGGGTGCGCCCAGACATCGCTCGTAACTGGATCCTTCATCACGATAATGCGCCACGCCACACCGCTTACGGCGTGTCCCAGTATTTGTTGCAACAACCGCCGTATTCACCCGATATGTCACCCTGTGACTTTTTTGGTCCCCTCGAACAAAATCGGTGGTCAAAGGAACCCAATTTGAGTCGATCCAGGACATCCAGCGGCCGTGACGAGGGTACTCGCGATCACCCAATCGTAGCGGTCCAGAAATTTTGCGAAGCATGAAAACGCGCTGGAATCTTTGCATAGCTGCCCAAGGGAACTACTTTGAAGGGTATGGCAGAGTTGTAGAATAATTTTGAAAAATACGGTTTTTATGGAATCAGTTTCATTACTTTAGTGTCACACCTCGTACATATGTACATGTAATGTTATTTCAAATGTTGGGACTGTATGTATATGACAAAAATAATATGAAAATATTTTTTTTATTATAAAATTGGAACCTTGGTCATTCAAATGACCACCTCGTGAGATTTCGTGATATTCAATACATTCGAGGGACTTTTTTTTGTAACTTTTTGGTACATAACTTGACGAATGCTGGTTCTCAAGTGTTCAAGGATTCAAAGTTTATCCGGACAAACACGGCCTTTCGCGTAGCAATACAAAAGCGAGTCCAACGGTCTCAAATGTCAAATCGCACGATCTCGGCGGCCCACAATATCGCCATACTCGGTCGTGTTGTGTGGCTTATGGCAACATCTTGTTGAAACCACATATTTTCCAAGTCGTGCTCTTCAATTGTAGGGCTAAAGAAAGTCGTCTATTATACGACGATAACGCTCCGAGTTGACAGTGACGGCCTCGCCGTTGTCGTTTTCTATGCAGTGAAGTCCAAACACCCTTCCGCACCAAAGAGCGCAGCAGACAGTAAGTTTTAATTGGGTGCAATAGCCTCTCTTCAATTATCATTAAGAATTCTCGGGCCCTAAATGCCGCAGCTTTTTATTTTTCGCTAAAGAATATTTACGTACGGCCGTCGTATGGCGTTAGCAGTGGCCAGCTGGCTTCAGTTGTTGTGTGAGCTGGACTTTATATGGATGCAAGTGTAAAACTAAGTGAAAGACACGGCATAATGTGCCGTAAGAAAGTCCCAGCTCTTCTACAGGCCTTACAGTATCTTTAACCGATCCATTCTCTTCAAATTTTTTGATTTTTTTTCAAATTGCTTGAGTAGTTGGACGGTTATGTGCACCATGAATGTCTGATTTATTTGGTGCCACAGTTGAATTCGTTCGATAGGTGTCAGAATACAGCTTGATACTTTTGATACCACGAAATAGATAAGCCAATACTTTGAAAATCCCTGCAAAACGCATGATCGATCGAACAAATAGTTTCAGAAAAAATTATAGGAGCAAAGCTTACAACACTCAGAACCCGGTAAATGTCTTAAAAATTGAAAATTCAATGTTTTTTGAACTTTTACATAATTTGGTATCTTTATCCGCTGAATTTAAAAATCAAAAAAATTGTTTTTGTTTAAATTTTTAACGCTAACGTCGGCACTTATGCGCGCTCGTAGAAATCGGTCTTCTACTTTCCCCTCTTTCTATTGAAATACACCACGGTAGTCCTGACGGCTAAGTAAACCGACTTAGAGCAATATTAGAAGCTTCATTAGCATTGGGAAATACCTCTCGAACATACAAAATGGGTTCCAGCGTTCTTCGGACTGAATTAGCATTTGAAAAGTAAAGAGCTCTCTCGCAAACTACACCAATCTCTTCTCATCATTATATCTCTCTGATCTGCTCTTTTGTGTTGCGGAGGAAAATATCCGGTTACCCCTCCGTTACGCTAATAATCGGCTCAAGATCGTGATCGAAAACGACTACTTGCTGATGTATTGCCCATACTTGGTTGCGAGGCCAGCGGAGGGACCTACTTTTGGTGTAGTTAGAAAGTCTCCGCTTTTGCTTACATTGGCTGTCCATAAAGCAGAAAGAAAGAATTGCGTGGATTGCTATTGTTGACTAGGCTATAATTGCCTAATGGGTCTCCACTCAGAAATTAAGAAAAAAATATTGTCTTATAAAAAGTGATCTGCAAATTTTATTTTTTCACAATCTTTTGCTTGGCAGGGAATGTCAATCCTTCCGAGTGTATTTCATAACAATCCATCAGCTGTTCGGAGACTGCTTAGTATAAAGTGTGGGTCCCTCCATTTGTTGGCAAAACATCAAGACACACATCACAAATTGGAGGAGAGTCTCAGCCGAAAATCGCTTCAGCCGTTATAAAGCTCCGTTTATATACATATACATATCTAAATAAGTTTAGCTACTCCGTGATCTGTAAAGTCTGTCAGAAAGGACCCGCCTAGAATATCACAAATTATGACTTATACCGAAGCAAAAATCAAGGGCTCACAGAAGCTCGTGACCAACCGACTCAAAGGAATCAGGTAGGCCGAACGATGATTGTGATTAAATCGACGATCACAACAAACAACTGTTCCTTGTCTACTAAGGTCCTTAAAAAACGCTCTTTCTTCTATTATATCCTTCGCCTGAATTTACTGGTTTAAACAGCTGATGCACGCTTCGTGTTTTGCACCACTGTAAAACATCTTTAGTATCGTTTTACAAACGAATATCGCTTGGAAATCTTGGTATTTTATTTTCAAAATGAGTGTTCTGTTAAGGAAGGTCTTTGCCCGCTTCTTCCGCGCGCGCTTCGAAGCTCATTTTTGACTTATTGGCTGCGTAAATTATTGTCGATTTGGAGTGAAGATCAGCCAGAAGCATTGCAAGAGCTCCCAATGCATCCAGAAAAGTCACATTTTGGTTCGGCTTATAAGCTAGGGGCATCATTGTATCGTACTTCTTCAAAGATGATGCGAATCGTAACGTAACTGTTAATGGTGAGCCCTATCGTGAGATGATATCAAACTTTTCTTTGGCCCAAAATGCAAGAGCTTGACTTGCATGGCTTGTGGTTTCAACAAGACGACGAGTTCGATGGACATTTTATTTCACGTTCGGGACCGTTTAATTAGCCACCTTGATCGTGCGAGACTTTTTTTGTAGGGCTACTTTAAATTTAATGTCTACCCAGACAAGAGCGCTGACGCATTGGAGGACAACATTGAAGCTTTAAATCGTGAGATACCAGCCGAAATGTTGGAATGAGTTTGCCAAAATTGGACTAAGCGGACGGAGCATGTGAGGCGCAGTCACGGTCAATAATTGCATTAAATTATATAGAATAGTCGATTCATGCACTTTTCTGAATTTTATATGTTTTTTTTTTTTGAAAAACTTTCCTATAACTCCTAAATACTCATCCTTTCTTAGAGCATGCAAAAAAATACTCCCTTGGAAAACAAAAACTTAGTACCTCACGATGTCGCTGTAGTTTGGTATACAACTTTATATGAAAACCAACAACAATACCACCAAAAAATTACAACATTTGAAGAAAAATAATAATACTTGTAATAAAAGAAACACCGTTACACACCACAGCATTGCCGACAAACAATTCCGTTTATTTCATTTATTCCGTTTGTCATTTCGCGCAATTGCCTCACGGATAGCATTGGCTCACTTCACCTTCTCTCTCTCTCTCTCTCTCTCTTACTCTCACACTCCCTCTGCCTTTCTGCCTCTTTGTCCGTCTCTCTATGCGGCTTCTTTCCAGTCAGTTTGCCACGTGGTATGAGCAACATTGCCACTGTCATCACTCATTCGCTCCGTTGGCGCTACTAAAGGATGCAATGCATGTTAACACTCTTATTGCTTTTGTTGTTGTTGTTGTTGTTGTTGTTGTTGTTGTTGTTGTTGTTCTTGGTATTACCATTGGCAACGTGAAAATTGTCATTGAATGTGATGTGCTTTATTGCACTATTGCTATTGTGCTGCTACAGCAGCAACAACAACAACAACAGCTACGGTTATTTTACGCTTTTACTTATACTTGTGCTTCTGCCTCTGCTTCTGTTTCTGTTTCGCTGCTCGCGAGCATTTCTTATGCAAATTCAGTCGTTGAACCGCAAACGGATTCCTGTGTTTTTGACTGTACGGTCGTCCGCAATTGGTTTTTGTACATATAAACATATATATATATATATTTGCATGAATATATGTATATTTTATGCTGCATTGCATTTGTATGTTGCACGCACACACACACAAACACAAACACAACTGTACGGTTTACGCTTTAATATTGCTTTTGTTTTGACTGCTCTTCCTACGCTCGCTTTTATTTACGTCACTTTTTATTGTCTTTCTTCATTTTTGCTTTTGTTTTCGTTTTTTACTTTTTTTATCTTTGCAGCTGCGCGCAGGCAAAATCAACAGGCGAAGTTCTTATTGCCCGCTGGCGTTATTTTCCGGGTAAGTCGTGCTGCGGCATCTGTTGAATTTTTTATTATTTAAATCAGATATATTTACGTTTCGCAGAAGTACAAAGTTGCATGAAATATGCATGTGTGTATGTATGCATGCTTCACGTAAGCGGCTTTTGATTGTGAAATTATGCCACAAAGTTTTAGTTGCAAAGGAACTTTTTATGCAGAGTTTCAATAATTTAGGATTTCTATACAACCAAAATATACGAGGTGTGTTCCAAAAAAGAGAATTTTTTTTTCCTTCAAAAATATTTATTCGTCAAATTCTACTTTTGCACCTTCAAAGTAGTTTTTCCTCCTTCTTAATTGGCGTAGGCACCGCTCAAGCGATTATAACCGAGTGAAGAACAGCGTGCCATTCGTTCCTTATCTTAGCCGTTCGGTCCAACGTAGTAGAGGTCTTCCTCTTCTACTGCTTCCATATGGCGGTACTGCATCGAACTCTTTGCAGGCTCGAGTTTCGTAAGGTCGGCAGCCACTGTCTCTTGATACGCTGAACTGTATCAATGTCACAGTAATCAAATGTGACATCTCATCGTTCCAACGGAAATTTGTAGAGTTTGGTATTTGGTCGTCTAGAGAGAACCTTGCTTCTGCAAAATAGTGGACCAAGTTGAGTACACTGGTGACATATCACAAGGACATACTCGTTTTCGTCTCCCGTCCAACGCACTTCTTGAATGGACGTCAAGTCACCTTTTTCACAGAAGCTCTTTTCACCGTTACGTTTGGGACCCGCAACAATCTCTTTGGGCGAGTAAGTTCAACTCTGAGTAGGGAGCCTCGTTTTTTTAAAGATCAACACCCGCTCGCAGCCTCAGCTCTGCTGGACATACGCCGCCGAATAGATTTCAAAGAACCCTCAAACAGAACAGGTCGGAGTGGCTCCATTGAAACTTCCTTCGTGGATCGTGGGGTACAGCATTTTGCACAAAGGTTGTTCAAAAAGGGTTTTAGCTCTGCAACTGTAACTGACCACTCGACAATTGCGGCCAAAAACATAATTACTTTTATGAAATAAAATTATTTATTGCCAAAAAAAAAAAAATAAAAACATTGAAAATTCTTCGGCTGCCCTTGACTGCGTAACCAAAACAAATGCATACACGGTAGTAACGGTAAACTACAAAAAAAAACGGCATTCGTATTTTGTTTTTGTAATTATAGAATCTACAAATTCGTCTTGTGCGTAACATAGCAAAACAAAATATAGTTGTAATTGAAAGTACACACATACATACATAAATCCATAATCCTCGTAGATGAAAATTTCACCATATTATTTTTTTTAGAACACACTTCCTATGCACATTTGTAAATATATATTTTATAGCTTCTTATTTATTTATTCTAGCATATTTTAGTATTAATTTTTGATCTTTTTCCAAATTTTTTAAAAGCGATCCGTTTAAAATGATGGCTGCCATCGATGCTCTACTACAGTGCCCACAAAATAATTTAAGAATATTTCGTAACGGTATTTTGATATATGATGGTGAAAATCATAGCTACGCTGAATTAGTGCAGAATATATTTCCTGGGTGAGTGTGTGTTTTGTTTTTGTCACTGTTGCAATTGTGCTGTTTCTAAATTTCTATATTTTTCTTACGCCGAAATGTATGCAACGTTCTTACGAGTGGAACATTCAATTTTACTAATGCATATCAAAAGTTTAGTTCTAAATAGAAAGAAATACAAAACAGTATAATTGAAAAAAATTGAAAATAATTATAAAAAATGCAATCCAAAAAAATTTTGAAAAATCTAAAACTAAAAAGAATTAAAAAAAAAATAAAAAAAAAAAATTGGTATAATAAAAAATATTTAAAAAATAAATGAAAAAAAGTAAACAAAAAAATTTGATTTTAAATGGTATTTAGAAAAGAGATAAATAAAAATTACCGTTTTTTTACAATTTTGCATTCTTTGAAAACTAAGGGTTTTCACACTCAGGAATGCAAGAAAAAAATATGTAGAATATTTATATTAACACTAAACGTACCGGCATTATTCTATGACCTTATGAATAAAACACAGATTTTTCCGTAAAAAATTCTTTATTTATTAAAGGAAATAAGTTGCAACATCATTTCTGATTTCGTATAAAATTAAACACATATTTTTATCGCTTCAAAAAACCAATCGACTAATTAAACTTTATTTTACATAAAATGGGGTTATTCGTACATTTCCCGCATAGAAATTTTTTACACATCACGCATGTGTGGGGGTTTTTTTCCTGGATTGAGAATTATTATTGGAGATGCTTAATATTCGTTCTAGTTGATTTTCTCTTTCTTCTTCACGAATTTCGAGCTGAAATGAGAGAAAGAATTTGTCTACACCTAAAAGTTTGCTTCTGCCATCGGACCCCAGAAATCTGAAAATATCTGAGAAGTCGTTCCATCTTATTGCATTCGAGAAAAAGGGAGTTCCCCATTTCGAATTCCACAGATAGGGAATGGATACATTTTTTCTCTGATAAGCGTCACGTGCATACAACACTCCAATGAATGCAGTCCCCAAAACTCGTAAAGCTTCTGCTTCTGTATATATCTCCTTATTATCAAATATTGTGCGATCCGCTATATATATACGAAAAATTGCGATGAAGCTTTACCAGACATAATATTTCTTTTGGCGTGCGCCGTTGGGCCCGGATACTTCTCTGAAAGTGATGGCTGCCAAACAGTTCCATTAACAGCCGTGACAATGTTTTCATAATTCGATTCACTATCAGTTTTAGAATCCAGAGATTCATAAGACTCATTTTTCATCGGCAACCACATTATCACCCTGAGTTTCCTCAATGTCTCGAAAATAAGTTTGACGTTCGCCTTGATCATCTTCAGAAATTGAATCTTCCTCCCCTGAATTCACTTCACTTATTTGACGCATCTTTTCAACTCTCTCACTGACTGTGCGGACATATCCAGGGTTGCAGTGAAGCACAAGTCCAATTGAATGCAACTAAAACTGTGGTGTACTGCAACTGCTTGGAATAGAGAGTAGTAGTTGAAAAACTGCAAAAAATACATAAACTTCGTACTCGAGAAAATCGAAAAGTGGGAAATTGAATAATCGGACGATATAAGAATTACAAAATGTCAAAAGAACGACAGAAATAAAAATAAATGAGACTTTTGCTCATAAAAACTATTTAAAGCTACATGCAGAGTTCAAGTGTTCGGTTTAAATGAAATTGTGATCTCCAAGTATTCGTTCCGAAATAAACTACGCCTGAAGCTTATTATCTCTAATACAAATTTATGAAGTAATGATCATTGGCATACATTTTTTACGGAAACCCTGTGAGTCTTTGAGTGCCCTATATTCCATATGGCTCATATCTAGGAGACTCAATATCAAAAATTCTCGAAGAAGCCCAACTTTTTTTCGTAACCAATCAAAAGACACTTCATTGACGGTGTTTTAGTCAGTATTTTTTCCACGCTTTCACCAGCTACGCTTGAACTAACAGATGGGTAATGGTGTAATCGCATATTTTTGGTCATAATCCCCATTTAGCCTGTAGAAGCTGAGTCAGTAGCAGAGCATGACCGGCCAAATCAACACTTTAAACCTATTTTTTTAAACGATCACACTCGTCAGGGAATGAAATCTTGGCTTAAAAATAACAACTTACAAGAAGACATTCAAAGTTGGTTTGAAAATCTATTTTGAAAGATTTTTAGAAAAAATTTTAGGGTTTCCAACACATATCGAAGAAGAATCTCTCCGGAAAACTGCTTAAGCAATTATAAAGTGACAACTATTCTGTAGTACTATGTATGTGACGATCCCAATATTTAGGATCTTACCACAACAATAGACGACAACCTACTCTCAATGTATTTAGATATTCGATAATTCAAAATGGTAAGGTTATATTCGCTACCTGTGGGGTAGCCAGAGTCAACGAGCATGTACTCCTCTTTTAGTGGAAACCAAGTCATTCGGCTTACACAGGTACAGATGGAAATCACTTGGAGCGAGGTTCGGACTGTTAGGTAAATGCATAAGAACTTCCAACTAAACTTTCGGAGCTGCTGGCGAGTGACTATCGATGCGTGTGTTCTGGCGAAGTCCTGATGAGAGACAATTCCTCTCCTGTTTGTCAAAGCTGAACGCTTCTGGACGATTTTTTCCTTCAGACGGTCCACATGCACACAGTACAGGTCCGAATTAAGCGTTTGGTCCCAGCTCATAGTACAATAGATGATTCCTTCTCAACATCCCGACTCACTGCTCTTCGACCATAACCGTTTTCGTTTGACGTTGTTATAAGCGATCCACTTTTAATCACCAGACTTCATCTGCTCTAGAAATGGGTAGATTTTCTTACGATTCAGCAGTGATTCTGGTTAATTCACGTGGCACTCATATTTCGCGCTTCTTTGTGTATCCTGCCTTTTTCAGGTGGGTCAAACGTTTTTTGTGCTTATCATTTAGCTCCAGGGCAAACGGAGGGACTTAAAGTTCATACTAAGCCGCCTCCGAATGGCCGATGGTTTTTTATTCGGAGCTTTTTATTTCCAGTCGGAAATACACTCGAAGGGTTTGACATTCCCCGCCGAGCAGCGACCGTAAATAGAAAGAGTTTATTTCCTCTAATTTCGCATGTCGGCCGAGCGCCGGCCTTCCGAATGGCAGTTCCTCTGGTTCATTGCGCTTTTGCAATTGCCATTTTTACAGCTTATAGAATATGACATTTGCTAAAAATATCATTGAAACCCCTGGTCATCCCGAACAAGGTTAAAATAGTAGTTCTGGAATTGAAATTTTTTAATTGAAAATGTCCAACGTCGTGCAATCTTGGGAATTCTATAAAAATGTATCAAAAACATGCTGGGCTTTTTGTCATACCGTTAAAAATAGCAAAATGCCATCAATCAAAACTAGCTGAAAATTGTACATACATACATACGAGTATATGAATATTGTTTTTTTTACTCACTGCCCACACTTTGACAGACAATGGCACTATGATTTTTTCTCTCTCTCTCTCCCTCCCTCTCTGTGGGGCGTGTGTATTTGAGCTGGAAATAAATGGAACAACCAAGGCACAGTTGCACAATTACATTTGCAGTTGAGTGCGCACACAATGGACCAACACACACACACACCACACACACACACCCACATGGAGCCGCCGCACAATTTTGCTGACCACTTTTGTTAGTTTCAGACATTTCGCTTTCGCCCCGCTTCGTGTGTGTTTGTGTGCTTGTGTTGGCAGGAAAAAAAGTCTTCAATAAATAACACAAACTAAACAATTCATTTATTTATTCAACCATTTTTCTTCTCTCTGCTGTAAATAAATATTTTAAAATTGTTGTTTTTTCTTTCACTTTTATGCCATAAATTTTTTCTATTACGCCAAACAACAACAACAATACGCACATTGTCTCCTGCTAACACCACACAAACAACATTTGGCATCCGGCATGCGGCTCTCGATGGAATGCTGACACCTTTGCGCACACGACTGTCTGCTGTGTCCTCGTCCAACGCCACCCGTGGCATGGCACATCCATAACATAACATGACAATGCAATGAAAACTGCAATACTGCGACAATAACAACAACAACAACAACAACAACAACAACAACAAACGAACAAATATAATAATAAAATGAAAAAAAAAATTCCGAAACAACGACCACAACAACAAATAAAATGAAAATTCGGAATAAAATGCTGTTGCTGGCGAAAAATGGCGAAAATGTGCAACAGCAGCCAAATAGAGCTTTTAAAAGATTTGCTCGTGGCATGTCTGCTGCGGGACTATACGGCGAACAGCAACAACAACATCAAAAAGCCGAGCATAAGCAATATTATAAGCGGTGACGACACCGTTGACGTTGTTGAAGTGACCAAAGCTGCTGCTGGTCAGCCACACTTAAGCGCTACGTCCGCACCAAGGGCAAGCGACGGTGGAGAGACAAAAACGAAAGAAAGCTTGACTATGGAAGACCAACAGCAGCAGAGAAAAAAGAAGAAGCTGCAAATGAAAGAAAGTGAGGTAATGACAACACATCAACCAACAGCGGCACGAGTGACTTATGAAACCGCGCCACACACATCAACTGAAGCCCCCACCAAAGAGGCAGCGACTGCGACGTCAACAACAAAGTCTGACACTGTCGCATTGGAGACAACTTCGCAAGCACAAATCACCGAAGTGGAAATGCTGTGCTTACCGAAAAATTGTGTCCTTCAAACTATTTTGCATCTGCAATTGTTGGCTAAGGTGAGTAAAACGGTCCGTTTAACCAAGCTTTTGTGTGTGTGTGTGTGTGTGTAATTTGGTCAAAATGTGTGTTGGTGTTTGTATTTGGCTCTTGGGCCACATGCCACTGCTGGCAGCACAACATGGCATACCGAAGTGGGATTTACATTCAACGAGTTTTTGGTGATTTTTCAGCAAACCCAACAACAAAAACTAACAGCCAGAGCAATGCCGAAGCGCAAAAGTTGAGTTTATGTAAAATTGAAATGGTAAACAGTATGAAATTAAAAAAAAAAAAGAAACAATAATAATATCAAACAGTATGAAAACCACCAACAACAAAAAGCGGTAAATCTTGACGAAGAGGGGAATTATAGTCGAAAATATAAATAAAAATTAAAATGCAACATTGTGCGTTGAGAGTTTAAAAGATCCTTAATACATGCATACATACATCCATACATACATACAGACATACATACATATTTGCCCAACTTAGGGGTATCACTTTATTAAATAACACAAAGTATTAGAAAGAAGAAATTGTCTTGCGACTTGCGTAGTTTAGTTTTGCTGAGATCGTATATGCTGACAAAAGCGCACCCTGTATAATATATAATAAAAATGTATTTTCGAGATGCTTATTTCCAGGCAAAGTGGAAGTTATGCCATTAATAATGGAAAACAATATCAGCCGCATGGCCGCCACGGCTACGCTTACAGGACCGTATCCTGTGGGAAGAAGTCGCAAGCTGTTGAATCACAGGCTCCCGTTGGATGATTGCGATCACCTCTTTGCAAGATAGCACGGTCGTCTTGTTGAAAGTAAACGTTTTCCAGATCAATACCATCCAATTCCGGTCATAAAAAGTCACTGATCATCCCTTGATGGTGCGGTCCATTCATTTTCGAAAAAGTAAAGCCCAATGACCCCTTCGGACCGTAAGCCGCATCAAAAAGTTACTCGTTAAGGATTAAGAGGCTTTTCCACAAGCAAACTTGGGGTTTCCTAGCTCCAGATACGACAGTTTTGCTTATTGACGTAGCCATCGAGTTGGAACTGGGCCACATCAGTCAAGATGATTTTTCGATGCAAATTTTATAGTGAATTTTATTAATGTCAATGCGTCATTAAAACGTGTACCGTTACGTTTTTATTACTGGCGTAGTTTTTACTTTACTCAAATTTCAAAAACTTACAGCTTCAAAAGTAACATCTAACGGAATAGGAAGCTATTCAAAATAACACCTCTTATTGGAAAATCCTTTACACATATACAATTGGAGCTTTGTAGCCGCTGAAGCGTTTTAGGGTGGAGCTCATTCTCCAAATTAGTGGCGTCTGTTTTGATGTGTCCCAAGAAACAGTTTGTTCCAAAACTCTAAACGGCCGATGGATTTTTATTCGGTGCTTTTTATGTCATGTCAAAAATACACTCGAGGGCTTGACAATTCCTTGCCGAGAAGCGTCTAAGAATAGACAAATTTATTTTCTTTAACCTGGTCTTCCGAATGTTTGTACGCAATGCTAACCACTCATCGCTTACTCATCTCTTATGGGAGAGTCCTGCTCGGGACAATGTAAGATTTCGCTACCCCGCGCCTTTCTCTTTTGATGGTCCTTCCAAGGTGTAGGCAGGGTTTTTAACATTGCAGCGGTACTTATTATAGTCTGAGTGAAATGGATAAGTTTCATTAGTGGACGCCTCAACTTAACCGAGCCTAACCTTCAATTTGAGCAACTTGCAATTTTAGGTCGCCTCTGATGAACTGATAGTTCTGTATGAGAAGCTTTCATTTCATTGACAAAATTACACACAGAAGCATTGACATTCCCAGTCTCTATTGCATCCATTTGGGCAAAGATATTCCTCGGCAAGGAACCATTGACTTATATCATCGACTCGGCTATTGCCACTCCAACCGTATGCCGAATCGCTGGGAAATTGGCGGTCCGGATTAACCCTGTTAGATAGAGTCGGCTGGTGTGTTATTCTAGAAGAATCTAAGGAGTAGCTCAGAACTTCGATTCATGGGGGTTAAGCGCCGCATTACGGTGTAGAAGTGCTTAACTTCTTACTTCCTCCAAATTTAAAATTGTTTAAAGAATCGAATGCTATACAAACTTTAATATTTACTCTTCCTGTGACTGGCGCCCTCAGTCGGAAATTAAGATTTGTTATAAATCTTCTTATTCGAAAGAAATTGCATATATGAATCATTTTCCAACTGATTGGGGATATTTTGCCATTGCAAATACAAAATACTAAACTTTTCAGAGCCTCTGTCAAGTGAACATTTTTTTATGATAACTTAAATTTTGCGTTTTTCTTTGATAAAGAAGAATATTTTTCATTGAAAAATTTTTTAAAGCTTGCCGATTAACTTCTTATATTTTACGGTCCTTATTTTAATAAGAGGGGAAAAGGAGAAACCCAGTACTATACATACCGTCTGTTCGTCTACTTGTCTTTCTAAAAGATATGTAAGAGCGCTAAACTCTTTATAGATTACTTAAAATTAGTATTTACACTGAAAAAAAAATATTGTTGCGAAAATGAGAGGCGAATGTCAGATTAAAGAGAGAAGCCGATAACTAGTACATTCTAGAACGATAAAACGAGAACCTTCGATAGCGAACAACTCGATTATTCTACACTTTCGTCTACGAGCAGCCGACTGCTATATAAGGGCGACACTCAGCTGCCAAGTCAAGTTAGTTACGAAGTAAACTCGTTGGCGGCAACATCAGTATAGAGTCGTAATGTAAACGCGTTGGAGATTACATTTAAGTAAAGTAAATTGTGAAAGTTTATGCAAGTGATAGTAGCTAGTAAAGTGCATTGTAATTGAATTGTGAATTACTAAGTAAATAAAGGACATTAGATAAATTCTTTATAACGAAAGAAACTGCAAATTAAGTTGGCGATTTTTATTTAACAATCTAGAGAGCGTAGCCGAAGGGTTTAGAAAATAGTCGAGGTTGATTTAGCAAAATCGTAACAATATTATAATTATGTATCCCTCTTACAGCTGACCGTTCATTTCTTATCTATGGTTAATAATTTTGTCCATAAAAAGCATAGAGATCTCCCATGGATAAATCTTAAAAATATGCACCGCAGGCGGTTTAATATGAACTGTAGGTCCCTCCATCTGTTGGATAAACATCAAGATAGAAAACCACAAATCGGAAGAGTGGCTCCGCGGAAAATCGTTTCAGCGCTTACAATGCGCCAATTATATTTAATTCCAATTAGATCAAAAATTACTAAGAAAATTTGGAAGTCTTCGCCAGACAATTTTTATGTAAAAATGTTTCGAGCTGGCATATTTTGGTCTGAAGAGCTAAGTTCAAATTGAGATATTCCAATTTAATACAGGACACTGCAGATAAATGTGGCACCATTTGCTTTATAAAAGCTCACAACTTATGAATCCAAAGTGTTTCGTTGATCTGCGATGTGTAAAAAAGTTATAACCTAAAGAATATTGTTTCTTGTCCAGGTAAAGTTAACTTTTTTGTTAGAAGTTCGAACGTTTATATATATATATATATATTTTTTGGAAACTAAGAAATCCTCGCAAAATAATAAGGTGCGAAAAAGTTACTCATTTAGTTGGCAAATGTATTTTCTACTGATATTTTAGTACAGACACCAATTAAACAATTTTCGAACATAAAAAATTCTACTCCAGATTGCCCAGCTTCGAATGGTCATACGTCTCGAATGCGTTGTTCGATTTTATCGCAATAAAGCTTTTCTGTGGCCTAATCTTCTTATGCAAGTATATAAAAAAAACATCAAAAAAAAATCTTATGTCCGCTTGGGAAAATCTAGTAATATCCAAAAGTTACCGACCGATTGACTTGAAATTACTTATCTATATTTCTATGATTCCTGAAAAGAGTTTTTCAAAATAAAATTTCGGGAAGCCGACCTTAAACTGACCTATTCGAAAACCCAATTTATAGTTTGATTTATTTGAAATTTGGTTATGATAAAAAGAAGTCCCTTGATTATTTCTTCACGCATTCAATGTGGATGTGCGACAGCGAAGCGTTGCAGTGTACAGCAGTGTAGGTTAAATAAAAAAATTAACAAAAGATGTCGGTAGAGGTTGTATTATAAAGGGTGATTTTTTAATAGCTAAAGGAAAGTTTTTCAAAAAAAAAAAAAACACAAAAAATTCAGAAAACTTTATGAAATCATTATTAGAATCGATATTACGGTCCATATAATTTAAGTTTATTTCATGAAAATGTTGACCGTGACTGCGCCTCAAATCGTCCATCCTCTTAGCCCAATTTTGGCATACTTTTTCCAATATTTCGGCCGGTATCTAACGAATAAATGCTTTAATGTTGTCCTCCAACGCGTCATTTGAAGTAGGCTTGTGTATATAGACATTAGATGTAACATAGGCCCACAAAAAATAGTCTAAATACGTTAAATCGCTAGATCTAGGCGGCCAATAGACCGGTCCCGAACTTCCAATAAAATGTTCACCGAATTCGCCTGTCAATAAGTCAATTGTTACGCGTGTTGTGTGGCATGTGGCACCGTCTTGTTGAAACCACAAGCCATGCATTTTGGACAAAAAAAAGTTTGATATCATCTCACGTTCGCGCTTACCATTCACAGTTACGATTCGCATCATCTTCGAAGAAGTACGGTCCAATGATGCCACCAACCCATAAACCGAACCAAACCGTGACTTTTCTGTGACTTGCAATGCTTCTGGCTGATCTTCACTCCAAAATCGATAATTATTTAGGTAGCCAATAAATCAAAAATGAAGCGCGTGCGGAAGAAGCGGGCAATGAACTTCCTTAAAAGAGCACTTATTTTGATAATAAATCTCAATAATTTGTAAGCGTTGTTCGTTTGTAAGACAATTCACAGTTAAATTATGGACCAAAGTGAAGATTTTTGGCAGTGGTGCAAAGCACGAAACGTGCATCAGCTGTTTAAACCAAAAACACACCGGTTACATTGCTTCTTTCTCAGTACCAGATATATATTATAACTATTGATTTGTATCGGCACGCTAATGAGATTTGGGTACGTAGAAGAGCAAAAATTCTGTCAAAATCATTTGATGCAATCAATAGAGCTCAGCAGACAGGAGCTGATCATAATAGAAAAATCACTTCAATACGCTAAAAGAACAGCAATGTTCTTCAAACTATATATGGTTAACCATGGAGAAATGTGGAGCTTCTGAAGAAATCAACCAGTCTAACTTAACCTAACCTTGCCAATAATGCGCTCAGAGTTTTTTTTCAAAGTGTTTCGATTAACAACTTTTCCACTCTCTTTCTATGAATGTTACTTGAATCCACTCATAACAAAGGGTTAAGTGGCACGGCTTTGGACGCAGTGTCGTCTAAGTGCGATTCTTCGGCGTCCACCAGCTCAATCTATTCTAACCCACACTTTGTAGAATGCAGCCTAGCCTTAGTACTCAACAATTTTGGAAGCTTCGGTTTGGTTACTTGAGCTTCAGCTCTTTTCTAAGTACAAAAAGATCTCTGTGATTCGTTGTCTGCTGTCTTATCGCCCTCAAGGCGTTGTCGTCCATTTCAAAAGTTGGATTACGTACGTAAGCTCTATTCAGAAGACCAATAGCCTTTCTAGAAAGTAGGTAATCAGAGAACCAACGCCATGCTAGACCAGTTTCCTTAAAACCGTTGTATTCTTGAAATATTGAAACAAACAACTGTACCTGAGTTTACGTGGAAATGATGATAAAATTGCAGTAGCAGTGGGCAAGTGATGTTCCACAACCGTCACAATGTGTCATATTGTTTACTTCTTGCGAAGCTCCAGTTCGCAGCGAAAACCGGAAATACCAAACAATCATAAGTTCGGAGACATTGAAGACATTATTCTCCCTTACTGGCGTAGACACCACTTACGCGATTATAACCGAATTTATAACATTACGCCGTTCATTTATATTTTTTGCTGTTTGGCGCCATCCGAATTCCCAAGTAGAGCCATCAAGCACCTCTCTATCTGGTCTTTCCTCTGCTGCCACCGGCGGGTGCTGCATTGAAAACATTCATACGCAAAACCTTTCTCTCGAAAACTCCTAACACGGTCTCATTAGATGTTGTTATCGTCTATGCTTCCACACCATATTGCAGGACGAGAGCAATAAACAACTTATAGAGTTTGGTAATCGTTCGTCTAGAGAAAACTTTCCTTTTCAATTGCCTACTCAGTCCAAAGCAGCGCCTGTTGGTAAGATTAATACTGGTTCCTAGATGCGTTTCTCTTTTCTATCCATTGAATCTAGTATTCTCTGTAAAAAAAAGAGCAACAACAAAATTTAATCAGTGAGAGAGCTTGGCTCAGAAATCTTTTGCTGGATAATCAGAATATTATTTAAAGCAAAACTCGGCACTCATAATGAGAATTAAACTATTCACCGTAAACTGCTAATCGCCAAATATTACACACCAATCAATCGAGTGCCTCTTCGCTTAGTTTTCCGCCGAAGCGAGGTGCTACGGTTATCTTGTCCCAACAAGGTTTACCACATCGAAACGCTTAATAATATCATTACCTCAACGACAACCAAGGTCCGGATGGCTCGCCTCGACGCAAAAAAAAAGACATACCCTAAATATAGATTGTACATAGTACCTACATACATATACGTATATGCATATATATGTAACTGCTGCGATACACAAAATGGCAAGCCGTCACTCAAGTGGTCGGCTCGAAACTGTATAGTGAGTGGTAATTTCCACTTGGATGCCGCCCAAGGTAATGGGAAATGAAAAGCTGCCACACGACGACTATGCGGCCAGCACACAACGAAATCAAACAAACTCGGACACATATATATGCGCACACACACACTTACAAGCAGGCATACAAGTATATGCAGAGGCAACGCATCTGCATACACAAAAATTGCGGCCGTGTCCGTGTGAAGCGGGCTTATTTTATGCCTTTGGTCAGTCCATGTTTGTTTGGACGGCTTGTCAGCTTCGGTTTTTCGCTGTCGATTGGCGGCCAGCCGGCAGTTGGTGGTATAGATTTATTTATGTGTGCGTAACTGGCGCTTTGTAACCGCATAGTGGACTTACGGCCGAACTTCTGCAGCGATTTGTGGAGTGCGTCTTGATGTTTGTCAGTCTCCCAACAGCTAGCGGCTTCTTATTTGAAACTTTTCGATTTTATATCGTAAGAACACTCGAAGGGCTTGTCGTTCCTTACCGAATACGAGCGCTCGGAAACAACTTTTGCTAAAATTTTGATTGCTCTACCGGCCAGCATTCGGACCCTAGGCCGTCCGGCTCGTAGCGCGCACTGCCACTCACTCGTCTACTGCGATCGGCTTTTGCTTTTGTTTAATTTACATTTCACAGTCTTGTCGTTGTCGTCAATACTTCCTCTTGCATTCAAATGACATTTTTATCGCTTTTCTCACTCAATTCATCTTCCGTTCTGCCATTGTACATACATACATACACACAAGCAATCATACTTCTCTCTACTCCGCAGCACAACATGTCCGCCTTACACGCTGCCGGTTATGCGCATAAGTCGGAAAAATCATACAACGGTTTAAAGTCTTTGCTCCAGAGATCATACCACTACCAGCAGCAGCAGCAGCAGCAACAGCAGCAGCAACAGCAGCAGCAGCCAATCGGTAACGAGCTGACGCCCGTGGAGGCATATTTGTTGGGCGCCACTGCACTGGATTGTTCGATTATGCTTGCATTTCAGGAAATTTCAGTGCGTAATCAGGAGCCACCACCGCCGTCACCGTAAGTCTAAGTGTTAATCACATCCAGTTGACAACGCTGGCGCTGGGCGCATGGCGCACAACAACACAACGCGTAATTAATGACATATTTAATGTTTTTTTTCGTTCTTTCAGTCAAAGAACCTTGACGACTTCGTCTTCGCTGCTGTCCAAGCACTGTGTCGTATTGCCGCGCTACGCAAAAAGCTTCCTCACCAAAGTAACTCTGGTCGACTTGGATCCGAAGCCTGATAGTCACTTGTGTAAATACATTAAACAGACGTGTCAGGCGCTCAACTTATTTATGGAAAGCAGCGCCACTTGATGACCGCTGCACACGCATATGCTTGCATGTATGTATGTGTGTGTGTGTGCGCGCGTTGGTGCTTAAATGGCAAACACCTTATTTATGTGGAAATCTGCTGAAACCGAAAAACGTGCAAGATTGCATAATTTAAATGCGCGGAAATGTGAATATGCATTTATTTGTGCATTTCTCTCTCTTTCATTGTATACGAGCATATGTATGTATGCATGTATTGTAATTAATGCAGTGTTAAATTAAAAAATACAGTTAAGTCGAAGGTCTTCTGAATAAATATGCAATTTACGCATACAAAATGCCATTTTAAGATTTTAATAAGATAAGAGGGAGGGAGACTTCAGATACGAGTGAAGTTGTACTCTGAATAAATCTTCTGACTCTGCAGAATTTCACAATTTTATATTCTGAGTGAGTATGAAGAGCTTGAGAGGCTGGCCGACAAGGGTAATGATCGAAAAGTCTATGAGAAGATATGACGACTTACGGAAGGTTTCAGAACTGAAGCAAACTCTTGTAGGCGATCTAGTATGCCCAGAGTATCCTGAATGTATGTAGAGAACACTTCTGCAGCCAGCTGAATGGCAGTGAAAATGAAACACCCGGAGATTGAGAACCCGAAACCCTAATCGATCATGATAGAAAAGACATTCCGTTGCCCGAATATGATAAACTCCGAATAGCAATCGCCCGCCTAAAGAACAACAAAGCGGCTGGGGCTAACGGCCTACCGGCAGACCTATTCTAGTGGTGAAGAGCTGACAAGGTGCAAGCATTGGCTTCTTTGTAGAATATGGTCGGACGAAAGCAAAACACACACAACCTTTTCGTTGATTTTGAACCACCCTTCGACAGCACGAAAAGGAACTGACTATGCCGCTATGTCTGAATATGGTATCCCCTCAAAACTTTTACGGCTGTGTAAACTAACGTTAGACAAAACCAGAAGCGTAGTCAGAATTGGAAAAAAACCTATCTGAGTCAATCGATACCAAACGAAGTTTCAGACAGGGAGATCCCTTATCGTGTGTCTTCTTCAATTTATTGCCGGAGAAAATTATAAGAGCTGCAGAACTGAATAGAGAATACGTAATCTTCTATAAGAATTTACAGCCGCTGGCGTATGCCTCAACAACCGAAGGCAAAACAATCATCCCATTCACAGTCATAACTGAGGTTCAGGTCGTAGATAATTTCGAATATCTACAGATGCTGCTTTGGACTGAGTAGGCATTTGAGAAGTAAAGTCCTCTTTGGACGAACGAAGACCAAATTAAATGCAAAACAACCGTGGTCTGGGACACAGTGATATCCCAGGCAATTGAACGGCAGATGATCTTGGGAATTAAACCAATCACACAACGTAGGTTCATGGTAAAACATGTACTGAAATTGGCCTTTGTCGGACGAGCAAACACTAGATGGTTGAATGAAATCACTTGCAACTTGATCAGACCGCTATGGGCTAAATTGGACGCGAAGAGATCACGAAATCTTATCCTTCTAGATTGTTTCTCTATTAGCATAACACCAGGTGTTATAAATGGTCACTGTTGAATGGGGCTTCACGTTAAAATAATGAGATATCACTCTAATGATTTTTGACGCTTTGAAGAAGAAAAACTTGAAAAAATTCATCGCGGAATACTTTTTTCAATACCTCACTGAGCCAGCTACAGCAAAATTTGGTAATCTCGTTGTTTTAATAAGACAAATGAAATGGATCCAAAACTTGAGAAAGTAAAGGTAGAAGCCCCACAAAAATAAAGTGCATTGGTTACTGAGAACAACCGCGTGCACTCAACTGAACTCAAGGGTTGACTCAAGAAACCAGCTAGGTTCGAATCTGAAGGAAAGGGGCTGTTCGATGAGTAAGTTTTAGTGGGCTTGCAAAAGAACACATAAAACATGTCGGGGTCGAGTCTGAATAAGCAGATGCTTTGTGTGGTGGTTCGCTTCTGGTGGCAACATTCACTGAAATAGAGTTGGTGAAGGTTTGACTAGCCATCTATGAATAACCTTTAGTGCCTTTCGATAGAAAGTTACGTCCAACATCAAACAATGCACTCTCAGAGCCTGCATTATGTGTAAAAATATTGATTTTGGGTCAGAAGCGTGAGTTTGTTCAAGATCCATCTGTTTAAAAACAGACCGCAAGTTGACACCCATTTGGTCTTCTTCTTAAATCTGAAATGAGACCGCGCCAAAAACATCATGAGATAGTCCAAAATCATAATAGCTGATTTGCTATCTGAGTAAATATTAGCTTGCCACACGGAGACCAATGTATCCATTGTTTGCATAAGAGCAGCCTGAAACACACCACAACGCTTTTAAAGCATGAACACCGTCGATGGACAATGCTTCACCCAATATGTGAAGAAGTTAAGTTCTCCCGCCCCACTTAATCCTCGTACGAAACGATTATGGTTGAGAAGGAGTCGCTCTGAGATACAATAATCCATACAACTGCCTTTGCGATAGACATAAACATACATATGAAGGAGTGCGGTCTGTGGAATGTCACTCCCGCTCGAGCCGGTACTTCATCTCATGAAAAGAGTCGGCTTGGATTTATTGGTGAAAAAGTTAGAAAGGTCAGAGAGATAGTGGTTTACTTTGAGTAAAGGAAAGCACCATCCTTGGCCGACTTCAATATGGAACAGTCAATGGCGTACGAGATGGAGCTTTACCACTCTGATCTCGCAATTCCATAGATTTTAAATAAAACCTGGATACTGGTAAGAAGGGGGCTCGTTGCAACCACATATTCAACAAAAGGAAAGCATTCTCGGGCCCTAACCCTTTTGAATTTGTCTAGACTTGATACAAGTTTCAGCCGAGATTTAGTAGGAGATTGTATAGTTACTAATTATACTCAATTTTTACATCAGACGTGGAAACTGTTAGTACTCGTTTAAAAGGATTGGACTTCTTGATAGTGAACATACTGCGTTTACTATGCCGCCATCAATTTGCCTTAAGCGACACCATAAGCTCCGTCAGAATCGGGGAAAACCATTCCTAGCCGATTCGCCCGGATGAGGTTTTATAAATGGTGATTCCATGTGAGAATCTTCAATTAGAGTGTAGATAGCAGCAGATCCGCCGATGGTAATACCGTCATTGGCCTCACAACCGCGCCATGAATTCTGATTTCTCGCCACTCAGTTCTCATGTCACTGCTGACAGTCATAACTTTAAAGTTGAAAATAAGTTCGTGTATCTTGGAACAAGTATGAACACAACAAACAACGTCAGCTTTCAAACCCAAAGCAGAACTATTCTCTCCAACTAAGAAGGCAATAGAGAGGGACAAAATTTTACAAGTCGCTTATAGTTCTCGTCTGCTGAAATGGGGTAGATCATGTTGTACAAATAGAAAAGCAAACTTCAGATTTGAATGTTTTCGAAAGTGTACCCGCCTATAGCATCAGAGAAAGAAGAACACCGCCACCTCGTTTGGACGACCACACGGATAAGGACCGGACTGAACTTCATATTTCCAATTGGCGCCAAACAGCTGAAAGAAGGATTTGAGGAAAGCGGTATATATATATCAGTAAAAAATGAGAAGTTGTCTTGGAACGAAGTTTCCGATGATCCCATCTACGTTTCGTGCTTGGAAAATGGAAAGCTTCCGTTGGTGAAAATCTGATAGGCGGTAGTATGATGGAAAAGTTGACGGTGAAGTCTTCAGTCGGTAGCTAGACAAGTTGTTTACCAATATATATATGATACATAATTTGAATGGTGCCTCGAATATTCGTGCACCGAGCTCAAGTATAATGCACCTGAAAATTCGAATGCCAATTAAGTACCAAGCCCTGGTCCCTTACATAAAATAATATTTTCAACTAAATATTTATTTCCAAAGCTTTCTCACCGAGTGTAGGGCACACACGGCACTCCTTCCTGCCGAAGGTTATACAGTTAAAAAGAAAAAAGAAAAAAATATCTGCTAAACTTGCACATGCCAGCTTAAAGCTCAAACACATCTGCATGTCTGTGGGACACTCCTTAATTAATTTCCATGTGCCTGCTGAGCTCTTAAAGGGAGAAAGAAAAAAAGCGAAAAATAAAATAAAAACCGCATGGCATGCAAAGTGTGAAAGTGCCTGGCCGTGCCTTGACAGGACAACACTTAGAATTGAAACAACTAACAGACAGCAGGCGTGTACACATACATATTTACATACTCACCCGAGCGGGTATGCAAAAACTGCTGACTCTGGAAAAATGGAATAATGGAAAAATGTTTAACAACTTTTGTCATTCAGTCAAGCAGTAGAAGTCGGCATAGAAAGTTAAAGTTGAGCCGAGTGAAGTGAGTTTGTTGGATCTGTATGCGGTGCACGTGAGCTCCTTCTCTTCATACAGACTAAGCAGCGAACAATAACAAATCGCTATGGGTAATAAAGTTGCAACGTTCACCGAACAACAATTGGATGACTATCAGGTGTGATTTTTGTTGATTAATTTTTTAAGTTTTAAATTGAAGTGACAAACTATTTTTTTTTTTAATATTTACATATTTCCGATCTGTTCTGACCTTTGGGCTTCGAAGGATTGTACATTTTTTACGCGCAAGGAAATTTTACGGTGAGTTGGTAGGAAACATCTATATACTTACATACATATATTCCGAATTACAAAGCGTACTAAAAGTGATTTCAAATGGTGTATACAATGAAAATTATTAAATTTTTTTTTTTATAAAATCATTTCATAAACCAATGAAATTCCTCAAATGCTAATTCGCAAGAGAAGCTCTTGCTAGAACCGAAGATGAGCTGAATGTTTTAAAAGCATTTGAAACAAGAACAAAAAATTTAAAAAATGGCTGCGGTGAAGAATAATTTTGCAGAAAAATAGGATTATAAGCTTGAAAAATATATTAGCACTGACATTTTCTAGTGTTCGAAACGCAAATACCGTTAATTTCGACACGACTTAATGGCCCGAAGGTCGTTCTAATTATTAGCCGAGCTTTGCTCATGAGATATGCCAAGTTTTAAAAACTGTATTAAGTCCATGCCTCCAGTGCTTGCAAATACAAACCCCTTTCGAACATGAAAGCTATGTTCTTCGGTAGTGCTTGGTTGAGTCATTTCGCAGAGACAGCTTAGCAGAATTTTTCTTGAAACTTCATGTGCGCTTTTTGCTAATTGTAAAATACCGCTCCAGGTAAGTCATACAATTCACGGACCTGACTACAAAGATAATGGTTGCTGAAGAATGAGATAATTTAATTTATTTCAAAGTAGCCTCCGTTGAACTTAGTTCTTTGTTACAGCTGTTAAAAGACATCCAAGCAAGATGAAAGGAGTGTATTGTCATTGTTGAGGCATCCAGAAACCTATATCCTTTCTGCCAATACTAAGCCTCCCATCGTTTCATTTATGACTTTATATGTTTTAATCTGAGCTTGAACACAATCTTTACATGTCACAATTAAATTGGTCGGGGCCAAAATTTCTTAGGGTCAAAAATGTGTCATTCCAGACCCAAATATGCAGAGGTAACAGTTTCAAAATCCTGGGTATACAAGTTTTTTATATACACAATGTTGACTCTAGACAATATTCAATGAACTATTAAGGTTTTATAAGGTTGGATACCAAAGAGATTTTTAGTGAATTATTCTTCTTTGGCGTAGACACCGCTACAATGCTACTCGTTTCTTCTCTTAGCTCTTCGACACCAATTGGAATCACCTAGTAAAGCCAACACATTTTTCATTTGATCCTTCCACAGGAGGGGAGGTCGCATACTTTCCAAGCAGGAGCGCTTTCGTCTCATACAGCTCATCATTGAATCTTCTATGGTATTCGCCATTTCCAATGCTCGAAAGGGCCGTAAATCGTTCGCAACACTTTTCTCTCGACGACTCCCAAAGCCGACTCGTCGGTCACTGTCAACGTCCACTTGAAGGAAAAGATGAGCCGCCACTTGTAAAATGTATCTATAATTGACGCTTTGTAACCGCTAAAGCGATTTTTGGCTTTCCTGTCTATGTGTATCCGTAGCTAGAAAAATTAGTTTTCCATAGCTTTGGCTGTAGGGTGGAGCTGTACTCAGCCATTGCAGTTGCCTGAACCACCAACTTGCAAAGTTTCTTTTTTATTGTTTTAATAGAGAATTTTTCATTTCAAGTGGTTACAAAATAGTACCAGTTGAAGAATTATTCTGCAATGATTTGTTTGATGGCAGGAGATACTTCTTTCTGCCCTCATTCGCTATCAGCTCAATTTCCGACTCTTCCTTATCCAGTCTGAAAAAGCAGAACTCACGACGCGGTTGTTGAGGCTAATGTTATCAGTATCATCGGTATACAGTAGTTGTTGTACACACTTAAAGAAGGTTGTACCTTCCTTATTTAGTTCTTCAGATTTTCTTATTTTTCTATCACGAACGATATTCACTATGTTTGAAGCCTCGTTTGGTATCGAAAAACTCGGAGTGGTTCTTCCCGATTCTGACAGCTTTTGGAGTTGCTTAGCATTGTCTTGCCATAGCCGTTTAAGTTTTGCGAAGGTGCAAAATTCAGACATATCGCCAAAGAGGTAGCTTCTTTTAGTACTGTCCGAGGTAGCTTTAAACTCGACAAAGAGATTTGCATATATAGTGAATATCTGTCAATTGTGATCCATTTCGAGGTTACCTACTATTTTGTTAAAGAAATGAGGAATGTAATAATCCATCCGTTGAGTTTAATTTCCGATGACTCGTTCGAGCATTTCGACTGGTAACTTATGAATTACACGCGTGATGTTTTGCTCCAAGAACTGAAACAATGCAGGTTTGTCCGCATGGACTTCAGACTTTACATATTCCCACAGGAAAAACTTTGAAACGGTCTGATGATCTTGGTCGCCAATCAGTCGATACAAAAAGTGAAATTATCTGCTCACCAAAGTGTTCTCTCAATAAATCCATTGACTGATGCGATGTGTGGGAAGTAGCACCGTCTTCTTGAAACCAAATATAGCCGACATCACGAGCTTCAATTTCAGTTATCATGGCGCGATAACGATCCCATTGACGGTTACGCTCTCACCGCATCATTTATGAAGAAGTGCATGTCCTGGCTGAACAAAATTCTGCGTAAAATGCGCCGAGCTGCTTGTTCCATACATTAGTCCTTGTTGCTGCGAACGGTGCCGAATCACCTCACCGCGGTCTTCGTGTACACTCTCAGCTACGGTCGCTATATTTTCTTCACTGCTTGCTGGACGTGGTCTATTCGGTCAAATATTATCCAATAAAGAACGCTGGGTCTCACGATGGGTGATGGTGTTGCGAATAGTATGCTCAGTTGAACATAAGTTGAGCACAACGCGCAAAACACATTCTTCACAGATCGTGAAAGCACAAAACATGGCAACGTTTGATCCGTTTTCATAAAGGCTTGACTTTTGACTTAAATAAAACATGTTTGGTTTGATATTTAAATTTGATGAATACCAAAATACAGGCCTGCACTTTTGAAACCACGAAATGGATAACCCGATGTGTTATGAAATCCAACTTTACACCAAAAGTTAACCAACCAAAGACACACTGTTTTGGAAAAACTCATTTTTTGTAATTAGATTTCGAGTAAAATGGAAAATGTCTCCTTTTCATGCAAAATGGAGGCTTATAATGCGTTAACCTACTTTTTGCAGTGAATTTTTTCTATTAAAGTAAAAACTTTAAGCAGTTGTCTTAAATGCCAGCCAATTCCTCTGCCCCCACCTGCGCGCCTCCTTCGCTCCTGCTCGGTAAGGATAATTTTACACTGACCTCAGCATTGACAGCGAACTGCGCTCATAATTTTCACTGCCCACCATTGTTGTCGATGCATTGCATGCCATTGTGGGCTCCGCAAACAAACTTCATTGTTGTATTACACATTATCCTTGCAGCGCTTTGTTTGAAATATGTAACCGTAATTTTTCTATATTTTTGTTTATTTTTATTCTTTGTATATTCATTCCTCCTACGCCCTTTTCGCTTTTGTTCACTTCACTTTGCATGCATTTATGGTTGCATTTCCGTGCCAGAAGAGTAAGTGGTATCACTAACATTCAAGAACATTCCAGAACATGCCGTCATTATGGACGGTTCTTAGCTGTATAGTTTGTGTACGTGTGTGTGTGTGCTTACCGATTGCGAAGGTAAAGCAGCATACACTCACACACACATACACACTCGCAAACTTACATACGTTGTGAAGATGAAGAAGAGCGAAAGTAGTAGCTGCGCGTGAAACTTAATGCCGCGTGCTAACGAAATGTTGCCAAAAATGTTTGTGCCACACACTGTGCTATATATTTTGTCACAATTTTGGTCTTTTTTTTCATACTAGAATATATTTTTTCATATCTCATTTTAATCTTTTCTCTCTCCCACCTTCCCGTAGCGTTCACAAGCGCTTTCGCGAACTCCGTCCGGATTTGGTGCCACGCCAAATGACCGAGGGCCAAGCGTCCAGTGTCAAGGTGCCGTGCGAGTGTATTGAGAAGATGCCCGAATTGCGCGAGAACCCTTTCTGTCGACGCATCTGTGAGGCATTCTCACGCGATGGCCAAGGCAATTTATCCTTTGAAGATTTCCTGGACGCATTGTCCGTGTTTAGCGAGCAGGCGCCAAGAGATATTAAAGTTTTTTATGCATTCAAAATTTACGGTGAGAGTTGCGCTCGTGCAGTTGTGTGTGAGCGTATCTATTGTTTGCTGTTAGTTGTTGTTGTTGTGTGTGTTGCTTATGGTGTATTGTTTATGGTTTGTTTTGGTTTTGTGCGTTTTATGCACAGGAATTAGTATAGTTTTTACTATTGTTGTTGTACTTTGTTGTTGTTGTTGATGTACTTTGTTGTATTATTGTTATTCTTTTTTCTTTATGCCATTTAAGCGCCATTTTCGTATTTATGCTTGACTCCGCTTGCGGCCATTGTCTATCGTTTTACGCGACAAGCTTCTAAATTTTGCACATATAAACATACGTATATACATGTGCATGTATGTATGTGCATGTATGTATGTAATTGTGTCTGCATGTGACGCTTTCTATTTGCTTTTGAATAGTTGTTGTCATTTTGAAATTTTATTTCACATTTTTTTCTCACCTCCATTTTGCCGCTTACCTTTGCAGCCGCGGCAGATGTCACTTCTGTATAACGGCAGTTGAATTTGGCAGTCCTCCACCAAAAATGCGCACATATACACATACATATGTATATTGATGAAATACACTAACACATACAGAAGACCATATTTTTTATAGTCTTACTGGTGCTGTGTATGCGTGTGTGTGTATGTGTATGTGTGTGTGTATCCACGTATGTGTGTTTTTGACATTTGAATGCATGCTTTGTTTGAATCACACAATTCAATTTTTTTCGCTACCACATTGTTGTTGCTGCTATTTTAGTTGTGACTTTCAGACGTAAATTTTATCACAATCAGAAGTAGTTCTAATACATATACATACATATCCTATCTACATATGTATATAACGATATTCTTGTTTTTGTATGTATGTATTTTTTGTACTATGTAAGCTATGTGTTTGTAATAACATACGTACACGTATATATGTACATATGTACATAACATACCTATTCTACTTGTGATTATATTGCAGAATTGTTTATAGCAATGCATGCATACATACATAACATACAAATATGTATAACTTCATATGCCCAAATACATGTGTATATGTCCATAAATATTCACAAGTGTTCATGATTTTCGTTTTTATCTGAGTTCAAGGATATTCTGAATGTGTCCAAACCGAGTAGAGACATTGTGTAGCAAAATTATTTAAAAAAAATTATAAGTTTAATGCAGCAAAAGTTAAATAAAAATTACATACCTATATAAATGCATATGTATATGTATATATGTATGTGTATTTTAATTCCAATCCATTCGATTGAAACAGTTGTCAAAATAGATTTTCTTTCATTTTTAACCTAATCGAAATGCTGTCGTTAATGTCAAACAGTTAACAGATAATGTTAAATGTTAAAATTTGCAGTGCGCTGTTAATATCGTAGCAGGTAGCCATTTCAAAATTAATGTGAACATTGCGGTTGTGCGGCTGCAATATTAAGGCCTGATTTCACAATGTCTGATTAACTTAACCCTTAACCGTCAGATAGACGTATGTGACATTTTCGTTTTCACCAAGTTCTGGTTACTTACCTTCTGTTTAGTTTGTAAATTGTGAATATTTTTAGTTAAATTCACAAAAAATTGCGATGTGAAAACATCAAAACTCGCTGGTATTTGCTTACATTTTTCCACACGACATGATTGAGTAATTCTTAAGATCTTCCGTTCTTTCTTTTTTTTTTGTAATTTTAATTTGTGTTTATGGAAAAGAAATTGTAATTTAATGAAAATTAATTTATTTCATATATTTTTATTTGGGAAAAAGGATTTTAAAATACATGTATAAAATGTATGTAATATTTATATGATCCTCAGCTGTGTTTTCGGCGGCATCAACGGATGTTTCTGCTAGTTCATTCGCTTAATCTTCTACCTCATCCAAATCAGAGTCATTCTAGATAGCAAAATTTTGCAACACTCTACAGCCAGCAATTATCTCAATCCATAGCTCCTCGATATGCAATTGCGAGTACGAATTCGATATTCATTGTAAAGACGTTCAGCACGAAGATTGGGATGATGAAGTTGACACATCATGCAGTTGCTGACAAACCATAACCACTACCATCCAATTAAAAAAAGTCCCTAAATTCATTTATCTAAAGCCAGTGGTTTAGAAAGCTATTATGAAAAAAAAATGCTGTTACGTCCAGAAGAAGGACACCTGCTTAAAAAATCCAGTACTTAAATTTCACGAGTACCCTCTTCTGCTTCGAAAACTTTCGGTGCTTTCTCCTCCAGGTGTTTGGATTCTGACATGAGTGCAATCTAAACCTTTAGAAACTTCGCTATTCGATATTCTGAGGAATGTTTGGACAAGTTCCGCGATACCAATGGACACTCTTTACTTCCAGTCGCCACTTTTATTGCGCCCATCACCGGAACACAAATTAAAACCCTTTGCGATGCATAAAAACGTGATGTTAAAAACAAAATTTCCGCCACTTTATTTCGGCAAAATCAAATAAATAATCAGCGATATTTATTTACCCAAAGCACATTATTTTCACAACCTTTTCAAATTTATTTTGCACTTATTTTGGAAAGACGAAATCTACGAATAGAAACTTCTTCGCCATATTTCTGAAAAAAAAATTAATTTGTATATGGCACGTTTTTTTATTATTTATTTTATTTATAATATTATTTTACAATTTCCAGCTGTCAAATTATCTTCTGCTTTAGAGTTAATCGCCACTCAATGTTGGCGTTAAGTTAACCACAACTTAATTGACAGATACACCTTAACCGGACAATGTGAAAGATTAAGTTATGATTAAGTGCTTAACCGGAGATGGTGAAAACGGTCCTAACAATTTCATTTCGTTTCGTTAATATAGCGCCGAAACAAAACAAAATAACTTCATTAAGTTTGCTTTTTATATTAACAAAACGAAATAGCATCGTTTTCCTTGTTTAAGCCTTCTTCAAAAACCGTTTAATGTCTCACTGTAGCAAGGGCGTACAGATTATATCTCAGACTGCTATATTTTATTAAAAATAGGTTCTCTAGCTGGTGCTTTACTTGAATTATTGGAAACATTTTATGAAAAGAAAGCCTAGGCGGAAAGTAAAAAAGGTGCGGTTGTTGATCGATTGCGCCCAAAAATAAAAATTAAAGCAGTTTGGCTACTAAATATTTAACAAACTTTTATTCTCTTGAAATTTTAACTTAGTATATATAAATCATTATTATTTACGATCTATTGCATCACCTTGGTTGCTGTCAATTCAAGTTTTGAAGTCGTTTGTGGATTGTCACCGAACGGGGAATATATCATACTAGTTGTCAACTAGAACTCAACTAGTTTATATCTTTACACCTACTAGTTCATCTTCATCTATCTCCCATATAGGCAACTGGTGATGTCCTGGTGACAATTGCCCTACTATGCATCAGCGTCATACTAGTTTAATACTAGTAAATTTAGGCATGTTGAATTTCTACTTTACCGAAAAAAAAACTAAATCAAATAAAGTGCAGTTTGCCGGCTGCCAGACTCGAACCGAGACCCTCATGCACCACAGTGAAAACCTCTAACCAGCAGACTATCGTTATAGTATATGGGGGTATGAAATCTGCGCACTTCAACAAAACTTTTTAGGAAATGAAACTCAGCAGTGCGATACTAAAAATAAAAAACAACATACGAATTATTTAATTTCTTTTTCACCAAAAAAAAAAAAATATAAAATTAAAAAACTCTGTTTCACCAAGAAGGAAAGAAAAAATAGAACTTAAATATTAATTTGCCTCTAGCGGGACTGGAACCGGGGACTGAACGCTCTACAGAGATAACCTCTAGCCACTCGGCTATCATGACGATGCGCACTTCAATAGAATAGAGCAGATAATGGAATTCAGCCGCGGTCTGCCGATGTAACAACAACAAACAGTGGAGGAAATTGTTATTTCTCCCATTAATGGTAAACTTCCTTACAAATAACGAACTGGTATGACTTCATCTTCAACATACTAGTATTTAACTAGAATTTTTGCATATTAGTTGGGTTTCCTCTGCAGTGAAGTTACTAGATTTTTTGGGTTGTCAAATTGATAGATAGTTGTGCCATCATAACTAGACAAACAGTTTTTTAAAGAAAGAAATTTAAAAGAAAGGAAGTTTTTATAATAAAATATATAATTTTTAAGATAATTACTCCAAAATAATAGTGCATACCAATATTTTCCATGGCGAAAACTTAACTTCACAATTAGTTGGTCGTTTCTGCAGTTAAAGCAGCATTACGTTCATGAAAATTATTCGCTCCCTGAACATGTTTACGCTCAGTTCGCTGAATGCACCCAATGATTTTTTTTGATTTACACTCTCGTCGCTTCAGAAACGGTTCGATTTTGAAATTCCTTTTGACTTAATTCGTGTTGTACCCTAACTATTTCTTCCCGGATTTGGACTAGAGAACAACCTATTCGAAAAGAAACTGGTTCGATTTACTCGAAATTTGGAACGTAGATGGTTTCTTATTTACAATAAATTAACCCGACAACTACTCTCCCTTCCGCAAAGTGGGCCCGGGGCTGTACTTGATTCACTTGAAATTCGGTGCATAAGTTCTTCGGTCTATTTAGCATAATATTAGATAAAATGTAGAAAGCCACAGCAACTTGTGGTCGACCCTGTTAGTCAGCTACAAAGGTTCGATAATCTTCTAGCTGTAAGATTTTCAAACAAAAAAAGTTACATCGATTTCATAATTCATTTATTTTGGAGCATAAAATGAATCATTTTTAATTAAAATAATTGAGCAAATAAAAAATGTCAAAAATCTCATGCGACTAAAAAACATTTAGAAATTTTTCATTTTGTTCATTAGTGTTTTGAGCCGTTCGCTAGCTGCCATTTCATTCCATTTACACTCGGCCATTCAATTGCCCATTCTGTAGACTATAAAAGAAAAATAATAACTTTTGTAACGAGTAAGCGGTGCATATCTCATACATATTTAGTTGTTCTTTTATATTTTATATATTTTATTTATTTATTT